AAACAAAAAACACAAGAAAAACAAACAAATAATAAAGAAACAAAAATGTCAAATACACTTTCTCACATAATTTGTGGCACCCAGAAAAAAAGAAGAAGAAAAATCACAAAATAAAGCAAAGCAAAACATAAGAAAACAAAAGAAAAGAAAAACGTAAATTTGTTCGTAAAGCTGTTTGAGAATTTTCTAAAAATGCAAATTGGCAAATTCACAAAAATGAAAAAAAACCTAAAATTAAAAAAAAACAGGCGAAAAGCTAAAACCAAAAAAAAAAACACATGAAAAACTTAGAAAAAATAAAAATAAAATACAAAAAAAAAAACTTAGCAAATAGTGAAAACTTTTAAAAGAAAGATAAAACAACAACAACAACAACAACAAAAGTAAAAACACGATAGAAAACAGAACTAAAAAAAAACAAAACCAAACGAAAATGATAAGATTTAAAAACAACAACAACAACTACTTATTTATAACAACAAATTAATGGAAAACTGAATGGAAACAAAAGGAAAACAAAAACAAAACAAATGGCATAAAAGAACAAACAAAAAAAAAAACAAAAACAAAAAATTCAAATAGAAATTCTTTTCAAATATCAATAAAGCAAGAATATTAAAAAAAAAAAAACAAAAAACAAAAACAAACCAAAAGCGACTTTTAAATCAGTTTCAAGCTCAAGTAACATTTGAGAATATTGCAGTGAGCAGTGCCCGCTAGCAGATACCCTGCACCCTGCGCACAGCTGCAATTCCAATCGCCCTACACTTCGTCTACACATACATAGAAAGCAGCATATACACGCACACAAGCACGAGCTCTGCTGACTGCGCAGCTGACGCAGCGACTGCGCTCGGAGCTTTTCTATGGGCGCCCAGTTGCTAGATAACTTTCATTTCAGATGGACTTACTTAATCAAATTCATAGCGGGTGACAATGAAGCGTTAAAGCACAAATCTCCACTGATCGAAATACGTCTTACGAACTTTAGGATTAGCGGGAATACGAAAAACCCAAGGCTCGACACAGCTAAGCTGAAATCAGTAGCTCTTACGGGTTTCAAGCCACACTGAACAGCATATCGAATTCAAATGATCGATTTGTATAGATATTAAGGATGATATGAGTTATCGGAAAATATATTACGATCCTACTGCGTGTGGTAAGCACAAATATGTACATATTTAACATATTTAACGGACATAGGTATATCGACTCAGCTCGTCGTCCCGATCAGGAATACTTATACACTTTATGGGGGTTAGTCGAGCACCTCGGACTGCAGAATTTTCGTTATTCACATTTCAATCAAATTTATAGCTCCATATATATTGGATATAACTCTAATCAATAACTAATAATCAATAGACGAGTTCTTGACTAGCTCAATTACTGATAATTTAAGTTCCTAGCACAAAAACTTTAGAAGACGCCTTTGCCGAAGTGTCAGTCCTCCTATGGCTTAGCTACATATGTAATAGATTTTGATGTGGGTATGTCTACAAGAGTATAAATTCAAATTCTTTAGTTACAACAAACAAAACCTATATAGTCAGATACGATCCGCCGCTGGTGGGCGTGGTCACATAGTAAGAATCTTAAGAGTAATTCACGTGCCGAACAGTCTTGGCCGATTTGCCATGTCCCATCCAAATATAAATACTATATATTCCAAGATCCAATGCCAAGATATTTCACCTCCATAATTGGCGAGTTGGATAAGTCCTAACAACCAAAGAGACAGGTGCACGAACAACAAGGCGAAAGTTGCAGCCCAATATACTCTTTTCAGTTCGTGAGCGAGTATAAAAATGTCGCAGCTCGAGCGTTGTTGAGTCGTGCAACGTCGCCCAAAGACCATGAAATTGGCAAATGGATTTTATGCCAAAACTATGTACGTAGAAGGCGTGGCCCATCTCATAGAGTCGACAAAGTCCTGAGCCGAAGCAACAGCTGACTCGATTTAGCCCTGTCTGCCTGCTCCTCTGCCTGTCTGCGCTTATTTAAGAGCTAGAGATTGAAGATCTGAGTGGCAAGCGTTGATCTTTTAGGATTCCCATGAAATCGATAATAAATCGATGGAACATTTTTTTCTATTGTAGCACATTTTCATTCATTTTTTATGTCAATTCCAGTCTGTTTGGATACACTTCCCGGTTCGCCCTCAGATTTGGCAGTTGCCTATCCCAAGGCTCTGCTACTTGAGCTTCTTTAATTCCCATTTGGAAGAGGCAGAAGACGTACACAATCACACAAATAGTCCAGTTCTAGGTATACATCCTGAGAGCCCACATACTAAACTTTATAGCGCAAAAGTTGGGCTTCAAATGCCTAATTGAATAATCGATTTTTATCGATGAGCACTTAGTGTGAGCATGTCGAAGAAAAAGGATCAAATTATACTCTTGATAAATTCTATGATAAATTTGAAGTCTCTAACTTTTGCAGACGTCACGCTGATATAATATATATATATATATATATAAATTAATATGTTGCTGGTCCAGCGATGAACTAGGCGTCGGTGGCAGGTCCAGCGTTGATCGGGTATTTATAGTCTTAATCAATAAGTTGCTGGTCCAGCTATGAGCTAGGCGTCGGTGGCAGGTCCAGCGTTGATCGGGTAATTATAATCTTCTTATGATGATTATGTTGGAGGGTTTGACTTCACCCCCTTTTCTATTAACTGGCCTTGTGGCTCAGCAATGATCAGAAATATAACAATTTGATTACGGCGGTGTGCCGGAGTAGTGCGGGTTTATTCTTCAAACTTCAATGCAAAACTGATTTTTAGCTACATAGAATATTTCACTTAAGCTAAGCCAAAACTCGCATCACACCACAATGTCATGGTCGGCAAGCCGACTCAGCAATCTTAGGCAATAACGGAAACTCTTGCAGTAAACAAAAGTATCTGGTTACCGCCGCTGACCATTGCAGTTATAGCGCGCTGATACAAAGTATGCAGTGTCGCAATTGCGAGGGCTGTTTCTTAACTTACGAAACACGCGATAGCGAGGGTTGGTTATAAACTTATGAAATACCCTATATTAAATGTTATGTGTTAACTACTCCCCCTTCAAGTGTAAGGCCGCCCTCGGCCGACCCAATTCCGGCGACGACTTCTCGTAATTGCTTCGCAGACTTCCTTGCGTCGATGAACCGCCAAAGGGTGAGGCCAATGCAGATTAAAGCACAGCATATACCTCCAATGATGAATGCCACACGATAAGCTTGATCAGTTCCGGCGTCTTTCTTGAATTGCTGTATCTCCTCCAAATTACGTTCATTTAAACGATGAAGATAAGGGAGGCTGAGGACATCTTGGCTGGCAGTGATGTTCAGCAAGGGAGAGTTGGCAATGCCCGGGACTCTATTGCGTACGTTGTTGTGGTTGTAAAACAGAGTCCCGTTGATCGCGACTCGGTCCCCGAACGTAATGAGATGCGTGCCGTGTACTTGGATTTCAGTGCCGTTATCCACCTGGATCCTTGCGGACCCGTCGTTAAGAATGATGATTCCATCATCTACGTGGGTGATTATTTCCAGGTTGCTCGGCTGGATTTCACAGTGTGCCGTGCCACCTGCATGGAGCTCTTTGGCACATGAACTCTCTAATGCCAGACGACAAAAGGTGGCTCCAGGTGAAGCGGTGCAACTCTGCAGTGTGTGGGTTTTTCCATCGCATTCGGCTATGACGTTGTCAGGCAATCGCAATATGAAATTCTTGTGAATGACAGGATAAATCGTAATTTTTCTGCAAGCTTGTTTAATATGATTTAAATTCCAAAAAAAAAAAAAAATTTTTTTTTTTTTTTTTTTTTTTTTTTTTTTTTACGTTGGGCGCCAATTAATATGTTGCTGGTCCAGCGATGAACTAGGCGTCGGTGGCAGGTCCAGCGTTGATCGGGTATTTATAGTCTTAATCAATAAGTTGCTGGTCCAGCTATGAGCTAGGCGTCGGTGGCAGGTCCAGCGTTGATCGGGTAATTATAATCTTCTTATGATGATTATGTTGGAGGGTTTGACTTCACCCCCTTTTCTATTAACTGGCCTTGTGGCTCAGCAATGATCAGAAATATAACAATTTGATTACGGCGGTGTGCCGGAGTAGTGCGGGTTTATTCTTCAAACTTCAATGCAAAACTGATTTTTAGCTACATAGAATATTTCACTTAAGCTAAGCCAAAACTCGCATCACACCACAATGTCATGGTCGGCAAGCCGACTCAGCAATCTTAGGCAATAACGGAAACTCTTGCAGTAAACAAAAGTATCTGGTTACCGCCGCTGACCATTGCAGTTATAGCGCGCTGATACAAAGTATGCAGTGTCGCAATTGCGAGGGCTGTTTCTTAACTTACGAAACACGCGATAGCGAGGGTTGGTTATAAACTTATGAAATACCCTATATTAAATGTTATGTGTTAACTTATATATATATATATATATATATTAATTTAAATGAAATTAGTTGAGTTAATTAGATTGACAATACAATGGGGATTCAATTTGTTAATCACTTTATTAGAATTGAACTACAAATTTATAGAAACTTCAATAGGTCACAGCGAAAGAAATGAACTATTTGTAGAGCTAAGGCGATGTAAAAGCTAGTGCTATAATATTCATAAGTACATAAATAGGTATTGCTGTAGAGCTCACGAGATGTGAGATATTTTGATAACTAACTAGGTACTAGGGAGAGAAAGGAAGAGGAAGAGGAAGAGAAAGAGAGAGAGAGAGAGCAAAATAGAGAGAGATAGAAGGAGGGAGGGAGTGAGAGAACGTGTGTCGAATGTGTGCGAGTGTCAATTGTGTGCGAATCTCGTGTGTGTCTTGTGTGATGTGATGTTGATTGGTGTGTTGCACATGTGGCATGTATATATATATCCATGCATACGTATGCGTGCTCAAGACTTGGGAGGTAGTTGGAAAATGTAGCGCATCAAGCACCTTGCCTAGGGCGTTGTCTTTTATAAGCAGAAGAAACAAAATTGTTTTTTTTTTTGGTTTTGTGCAGTCAAGAGCTGAATCCGATCAATTCGTGTTGAGCTCCTCGTTATCATCCTCTGGCTCGGCGCCGCGTCCCTCGCGTATACGTTTCAATTTGCGCTTCAGCATCATAACGCCTGCAATAGAAGTTAGATAAGTTGAGGTAGCTTTTGCCACTGGAAGAGACTACATACACTTGATGGCCTGGTAGGTTTTGGCCGAGGCGGACTCAGTGGTTGGCAGAGAATTGGATGTTGTCTTCTCATGCGCCAGCTTAACCTCTAGGTAAGCTCTTTGCAGGGTTTTGTAGTGGCGATATTCGCTGGTGTCCTTAATGAGGATGCATCTGCCAGGATCATATGAGAAATTAATGTATTTAAGCATAGAGAATTTCCTGCGTTTGCTCACTTGGCTGCCGAGCCCTCGCCGGAGCAATCAGATGGTGCTGTGTGATAGATCTGGTGATAGAAATAGTGCAACACTGGCGAGTTCCAGATGGCTAGACCATACCACACCCAAATTGCCACATTAAGCGGCAGCTTAAAGTTCTTGGCAAACAGCGTGGGTATGAAGTAGTTGAATGGCAACAGATTGATATGCACATGCAGCCAGGCGGCAATCCGTAGGCCCATAAACAGTTGATAGATCAAACGATTGCGATTCGAATTTTGCAATGCCAACAGCGAGAGGCACTCTGCGAGAATGCTGTAAAGGCCCAGCGTGAGATTCATGCCAATGAAATAGTTTTCATATCTGCAATTGGATGGTGAAGAGCACAGTTAGATTGGTATACAGATTGGTAGCTAATGGTCGGACATGCCTGTAGACATCGATAGCGATGAGGGCTGACAGATAGAGACCCTTGGAGGCTGTTTCCAGAAAGTCAGCCTCCTTGAAGTCCAGCATGGCTCCATGCAAATGGAACGTTATTATGAAAATTGAATAGAATTGAAATTTCTCATACTGAAGCGAACGATAGAAGATGAGATTGTCGGAGCTATGGAAGAGCGAATAACGACCCTGATTCTTCATCAGATGCGGCAGTATCATGAACTCATTGTAAAAGTGCAGAAAGAGACAGCATGCGCTATAGAATGCAATATTCCATATCAATCGGGCGAACTGTTTGCGCTTAAAGTATTGCACGTTTGACGATTTCAAAAAGAACTGCAAAAGAAGACAAACGAAAGCCAATTAGTCACCGATCATAGCAGATACTTTCCGGTGCAAGGCACAAGTTCATATATATGCACACATACATACATGCATATGCATATGCATAAATATGTAGATGCATATGCATGAATGTACATAAAAATATATAAGTATATATATATATGCATATATATGTGCGTGTGGCAGAGCTGGACTCGAGTGTGCCTTTTTTTTTTTTGCTTTAAATGTTTTTAATCTTTATAGTTGCTGGTCGCGGCAGTCGGTCGCAAGTCTTATCTTAACGTCGCCGCTGCCGCTGCCGCTACCACAGCCGTCGACGTCGCCGCTTTACATCTGGCTACCGACTATTTATAAACGCCAAAATAATTGGGCACCAACAGCAAACAGCAGCCGGACGCCGTGCTGTCGCTTACTGCTACTGCTACTGCTGCTGCTGCCGCTGCCGTTGCTGCTTCTGCTTATGCTGTTGTTCGCTCACCTGGAAGAGGCGCTGAAATCCATAGAAGCCGCAGGACAACGCTATAAATATCCAGAAGACCGCATTGATCAGGTAATGCACATCGATATTTTGCACAAGCGCATCGAAACGATCGTTCGTAATTAGATATTTAAGCGGCAAAAAGAAGTTTCCGATTTCTGCCCAATAATCCGGCGGACCGGCCTTCATATCCAGTATGGACATCTTTGGGTAATTTCGGCAGCCGCTGCCCCAACAGCAGCAGCTAGCAGTGAGTGGATTGACCACAAGCGAAACTCAAAATTTAAACGTTTGCCATGCAACAATTTAGTTGTCAACCTAAGATGGATGGATGTATTTATAAACAGTAACAAATTTTTTTTTGTATTTCATTTACGTGCCTGGTACATGACAGTCGACAATCGATATGTGTTTCGGCAAAAGTTATGGCGATATATTGCTCGATTGATTTTGCTTTCGATAGTTAGTTGTGAGGCTGCCAACCTGTGTACAGAGCGCGCCAATTTAAATTCAAATATGTACCTTTCGTGATATCTATTGCAGTCGCATTTTGTCGCAAAATGAATGAATCTTCAGTTTCACGCATTGTCGACTACCCAGATGAGCCCACCGCACTTCTCCAACAGCTCCTGGATGCAGTCAGAAATCATCAACCAGAGTCACAAATATACATGAATTTGGCCACCATCGATGATGAATTTACGGTACTCAACCGTACAGTGCTGTACCGTGGAATCAGCGTTGACAAATGCGTTATCTACGCAACGCAACGTTTTACACGAAACTATAAGAACATTAAGGCCAATGCCAAATGCGCCGTTACAATCTTAATGCCGGTGGTATCGTTGCCATCGCAAGGATCCACGCCCTTTCTATGGCAGGTTCGCCTCTTAGGCGCCACCGCTGTGGAGCTGCCTGAGTCCGAGCTGGACGCCTGGTGGAACAGAGAGTCGCTATCGGCTAAAATACGTGACACTATCTTTCCCTGTGGCCAGCCAGTCGACTATGATGAGCTCAAGGCCAAGCACGATCAGTTCCTCAAAGAGTATCGAGCGAGCGGAAAACCGCTGCAGCGGCCGCCCACATTGTAGGTTCCTAAAACTATCGAAAGTATTTCGTATTAACAATCTGTCATCTCTAAACAGCACCGCCTTCAAGTTTGAGGTTCAGCGCTATGATTTTCTTAAAGTGGGCCTGAACCAGATCGCGGATCGGGTACAATATCGCCGACAAGAGTGTGGCCACTGGCAGGCAATGCATGTGGCGACCTGAACCGGAATGAACACTTCCAACTGAATTTTACTCATTTTTATTTTATTCAACTAGCGTTTGCAAAAGCAAAACAATTGTTCTCAACAAATACAAACAAAAATTATAATTACAGTAACTAAATGTAAAACTAACTAAATGTCCTTTGTTTTCTGCTCTTTTTATGTTTCGTTTAGCATATAGTTAAAGTAGTTAATAAATATTACACAAAACAGTAAAAAAAAGTTGGTTATAATAATACATATTAGATTAAAACATGCAGTTAAATTAAGATTAAGGTTGCTTCTTCTTGCTTTTTACATAATACACGTTAGTTTTTCTTTTTTTACAATATGTCGGCGCAATAATTGTAACGCTTGGCGTCTACACCGCATTCACTGTCTCCCGTATCCAATCCGCGTTGGAGGCGATCTTATCATACATGCGCGGTCGCTCGACGCCCGTCGGTCCACAAGCGATTCGCCAGGAGGAGACGCCAATCAATGCCCATTGATTGGTGCCCGGTATGAGGCATTGGACAGGCGCGCCAGAATATTCCTCTTGCTGAAAGTGTACAAGAGGTATTTAAGTTTTTAAGATATATGTATACATAATTTAAATATACATATTTTTTATGTTTATATATGCGAATGTACGTGTGTATGTATGTGCATATTGAAAAACTACGCATGCAACACCCTGTTATGGCAATTGTGACGTCACGGCAAAATCGCGACATGCAGCGACACGTTCAGCAACTGACAAAAGCAAAACAAAACAGACATATGTATGTGACTAATGCCATATCAACAACAAGAACAAGGCAATATACGCTCTCCCTTTCTCGCATGCAAGACAAATGCAGCATAGCACGAGCTCACACGCATACGCACACGCACACAAATAGCAAATGCTAGAAACATCCCTGGACAATGCTTTGCTCTCTTGCCTACTCAATAGGATAGGAGCAAGAACAATTTGCATGCAGGCCGCAGCTGCAGTGTAAGATCGAGCATGCTTTTTGCTTCAGCAGTCACCTATCTCTCTCTCTCCTGCCTGTCGACGTGCGCATATAAGGAGATAACGCGCGCCAAACCGCCGTTTATTTGAGCGTCGGCATTGCAAGTGAACGGAACAACGGGTCATTCAATAAACGTAGCAAAAGGAGAATAAAAAATTAACAGTTAAACGTAGCGCAGCCGTCATTAATGAATTTCATCATGTTGGATATAAAAAACTGCTTGAAGATCAGCTATCAGGGCGAAGTGAGTTTCATCATCTGCGAAGCGGGCAGCAACTATGAACAAATCATTACTCAAGGTTAATTGAGTTTTCCTTTTTTTCTTTTAATCAAATTTGCAACGGTAAAGTTTGTTAACTCTATTTTCTTTATCCTTACAGCCTGTGCGCGTTTCCACATACCCGAGACACAGCGAGCCGGCCTAATGCTTACCAATGGCCAGGGCTATGAATTCGAAAAGCATATATTGGAGTATTTTCTGCTGTTATTTCCCTGTCCGGAGCTACTGTTCCAGCTGCGCGTCAACTGGCAAAAGCTGCGTCGTGCCCTAGTCGAACCCGTTAAGCGCAGGCGCTCGACGGGTGACCAAGTCGAGACAGAGGCACGATCTGAAGCTAATGATGGCTCGGCTGAATATGTGGCGGTGCCTGTTCATCGTCAGAATTGTTTTATCGGCGCACTGCCTGGCAGCGCTCTGGCTACTGCGGCTCGTCAACAAAATTACTATCTCCAGCAGCGGCAACAACAACAAACGACATCAGGGACGTTGCACCAACTCCGGCCGGAAACATCACAGCCACATTCAGAGCCCAAACGACTGCGTTTTCACCTAACAACTAAACAACAGCGACGATCGGCTCCAAACGCTGGCCCCACTGCGTCCCTGCTAACAGCAAAACGCTCCATACGCATCTAAACTTATGGAGCAACTAGTCTGTCCCACTAACCAGGACGAAACTGTATATACATTTTTTTTTCATTTAACATTAAGGTTGGACCGGAAGTCCTAGCATAGTCATAGCAAAAGGGATTGAACAATAAAAATCCTGTTACAAATCCTCAAATATAATAATAATAATAATAAATATATATGTACATATGTGTATATGTAGGCATGTTTGTATGCAGTCAAATCTACAGTAATGAAGCTTCATTCGGTAGATATCCTATGCTATAATAGTGTGTGTGCGTAAATTTGTGTATATCTAGTTGTGTGTGTGTGTGTGAAGTTTCATATATAAATATATGAGCGTGTATGTGCGAAGTTTTATATATATATATATATGTATGTATCTACGTATATATTGTATGACTATGTTAATGTGTATGTGCATAGGTATACATCTGTATAGGTATACAAATTTACGTCTGTATGCGCTTATGAATGTATGCGTACATATGCAGTGAATCACTACTATTTGAATGTCTCTCTGAGTATATGTACATACATATGTATATGTATATGTATACATAGCTATCCAAATAATATAAATAAATGAAAATTTCTCTAATACTTACATCTTTTTCCTCTCTCTACCTGTCTTATATTTCCAGTTCTCTTTTATATTTTTTAGTAAATCCATTTATATACATACGCACGCACACATACATACACGTTTGTACACGCTTGATATTCTAACTTGAATATTATCACGCAAACTCCAAATATTCAAATTTCTTAACAGATATTCTATAATATATTTAGTTGAGATCAAAAATATTTTCCGAAAAATCCATTTCGGCAACTGAAAGTAATACATCTTACATCGATCTTCGGAATATTATATCATACATTTTGGGGCAGTTTACATCATAGTGTTATTCAATAGGAATCAATTTCCAATGCAGCTAACATAACATATGTTCCAACTGAGCATATAATTAGTAGATATATCCGTAGAGTGGGTCAACTGTGATTCAAGTGAGAAAAGTTTTAAATCCTATAATTTAACACGCTCCCGATGAGCGTAAGTCTTGCATTTTTATCAATCTATAGAGTTCAACAGTATCTCAACAGTATCGGTCGGATGGACAGCAAAAAAGGAATTTGCAACAAGCCAATATACTCTCTTTGCAGCTCGTGGACGAGTATTAAACAATTTGTATGTAATTGTGTGTGGTACTCACCGTGCAGTCGTATTTCTGGTAGGTGGCCTCCATGCACATGGAATTGACCGTAGTTATGGAGACGTTTTCGCAGGGTGCCATGTCCCCAATTTTGAGCTGCACCCGCTGCAGATGATCGCGCTGTCGGGACCAGCCGAGCGTGTTGCAGTTCGTCCAGATTTGTTCTGGAGCACTGGGTGGTTTGGTAGTTTTGGATGCTTGCGAGGCAGGGGATGGGCTGTAGTAGTTGACCTGTGGGGCGCTGTCTGGCAGCGGATAGGCGTCCAGCTGTGGATGTTCATCGTCAACCTCTGGTAGCTGCTGCAAGGCCTCGGCACGCGGCATTTGGGATGCTGCGGCCTCAGCTATAAGATGGTCATAGCCAATGTCATCTTCATGCATCTCGGTGCTGTCATCCGAGCCGTCTGGTTGCTCCTGCCGTGAGGGTATGAGGAAGAACTGTTGCGTCTCCTGGGCCAGCCGACGCTGCGAGTGCGATGCAGCTGGTGCTTCCAAGCGCTCTGCCACTGGAACATAGGCACGCCTTTGCATTGGCGTTTGCTGCTGCTGCCGTTGCAGTGCATCTGGCAGGCAAATGGGGCGCACGTGATCCGAGAAACTGACCGGCGTTTCGAGGCGGACCAGTGCAGCTGTGGAGCCCTCAACGGGACTTTTGATCATGCCAATGATGCGACGACGCTGTGTCCACGGCGCTTTCGCCGACAAACGTACTGAACCCACTATGGCCATCCAGGTGGCCCTTGGCTGACCCTGGAAGCAGCTCTCCGTGGTCAGTACCCAGTCCGGCGATATTAGCGTTCCGTCACAAACGTGGATATCCTCACGGAACAGTGCCACCAGCCATGGCCAATCGCCCGGAGCTGACATCTTGGGCAGTGACAGATGCTGCTTGGCATTTGGCAGCGCCGACTGCACGCCGCAGCGCAGATCGCCACAGCCCACATAGAGCACCTGCCTCTTGGGGCAATGGGTGCGTATGAAGCTGATCTCCGGCGCATGTGGGTCCAAGACGCGCACGTAATCTGACAACTGTTCCGTATCATTTTGTACATCAAAGATCTCCACAGATCTGCCAAATAAGAATAAAAGTTAAAAAATTAATTAATGCCACAGTAAATTCTAATTTAAAATTGATCTTTTCGTTAAAGTTCATAGCGTTGCCACCTGACAGTTATATTTAAATGTATCGCCGGCCTTGCCAGCTCGCCAGCCAGTTCATGGCGTTGCCAGACATGTGCACACAAATGTATTGGGTCGGAAAATTCAAATGGATGCACTCACTCATAGCCCAGCGATTTACATAGGGATTCCGAGACGGTCTGACGAACTACTAGTTTCGCATCACCTTCTAATCCCTCAGCGCACAGTTTGCCAACAATGCCCTTCTCGGAGAAGACAGCATAGCCGGCGGCATGGAAGCGTGGGAGATAGGGTACCCAAGGCTCCGGCTGCAATAGATCCGCGGCTAAAGGAGCTATTGACACTGTAAGAGAACATTCAGAAATTTATCTAGATTAGCAATAGTTGATGAATCAGCACTTACGGCAATCCTTTTCGTCAGCGCCATCCGGACAGTCGGCTTTGCCATCGCAACGCGCCTTGCGCGGCACACAGGCTCGCCCACGTCCACAGTAGAGAGCATTAGGGGCGCAAAAGGCGCAACTGCGCTCATCCGACAGATCCGGACAGTCGGCATAGCCGTCACAAAGGCGCGGACTCTGGACATTGCTCTGCATATCACCGACGCAGTGAGGTTTCTGCTGGCAGGATTGTGTGCCTGTCGACTCAGGGAACCGTTCACAGTCGAAGTGCTGGCGGAACCGGGCAGGCAATCGGCCTCCACACCCGGCCATGAACGCCTCACAGTACTCGCGACATATGGCGCCGGCCGTCGGCTCTTGACTAATGCCGTGCGACTCGCAGGGCGGCTGCAGCAGACGGCAAACAAAGTCGTAGGCCTCACGGAAACATTCGCCGTCGACAAGCTCGCGGAACACTATGACATCGTCTACCACCTGCTCATAAGTGGCATGACCCAGCAGATTTGGATAGGTGGTCACATTGTAGCCAACGTTGCGGCAGTAGTTCAACTGCAGCGGCTCACAGCGGCGCGGCAATGGACGTGGCGTTGTACTTGTGGGCTCCGTTGTCTCGTCGTGGCCGCCTAGCGGCGAGCTGGACATGATGGGCTCCTCGATCAGTCCAGTTGTTTCTTTAATGGTCACGCTCGCCACATCTACGGTCATGTTGGCAAAATGTCGACTATGCGCATCGCTCAGCTCCTCGTGGAACAAGGCCAGCAGCTCTCCACTACTGACGAGGCCCGCATACGGATCAAATATCATATTGAAGTGAACCACAATGTTGTTGTTGTCCTCGCTGCTGCAAAAGAATATATATATATATATATATATATATATGTATGATCATGGGTTTACAATCTGATCTCTTACCCGTCTAAAGCCAGAATCTCGCTGCCCTCGTAAGCTTCACGTAGATCCGAGCGCCGCAACGTTAGATTGATGCGTTCCCGATAGTCACGTGCCTTGTGCTGGAAACGCAGCGAATTCTGATTGGCCAGCTCCATGCTCCACTTATCGTTAAGCACCATGAACTTGCCGCGGAACACGCGATCCGGCAACGGCTCCGGTCGAAAGTATGTGTCTGCAATTGAAGGTCACATTACATTAGACATTCGCTGTGGGCACGGCCCACTTGGCTTGGCTACTTACAGCCCACGTAAACAAAGGCGCCGGCCACCAGCAGAGCAATAAGGAAGCCGGCTATCACAGCGCATCCGCACTTCTGGCTATCGCCCAGTTTGCGGCGTGTGAAACGTATGTCCGAGTCAGTGGATAGCACGGACTCGGACTTGCGACGCAGACCATGATGCGCATGATTGTGACTGTGGCTGTGCATGTGCAGGTGATGCTGTTGTTGTGCCTGATGCAGCTGCTGATCTCGGTCCCGCTGATCCGCTCCAGCACCAGCTACGGCTCCAACTGCTACAGTGGCTGGCACAAGTCCGTTGCCATTGGTGTGAGAATGATGGGGCTTATGGTGTCGCGTACAGCGTGTGTTGTGAAAGACCTTGGGCGGCTGAGAGACAGCTGTCGTCGGCAAGACGCCACTGCCATTACCATTGGGATTGGGATTGCTTTGGACGAGGCCCTAAGAGCAGAGAAATATGTTTGCTCGTAATTAGTGACATAGCCAAAAATTTCCAAGATTTCTAGCGGCCATGGACCACTGGTCAATGACCACAAAAGCACCTTAAAATTAAACGCTTTGATTTTGCGCCAAATCATGCCGTTAAATCAGCCAACGAAACGAACGCTCCATCACGCTAAGTGCCTTGTGCCTTGGTAATGAATGAATGCACTTGAGCAAGTTAATAATAGTTTGATTTTTATGTTGTTCACTTTGTTGCTGCGCATGCAAATGCACAGCAAATGCAATGTTTGCATGGAGTGAAAACCAAGGAAGCGGCGCTGTAAATTTCATTTTGCCAAATTAATTACGGAACCAATTTACATGTTTGCAATATTTTCATTTTTGAAAACGATAAGCGATAAATTGCAACTATCTGGCAACATACAAGGATCCATAAGCTGGTAGCGCATGCATAATAAGCTTCCCTAACTGCCACACAATGTTAAATAACGAGGAGGTTGTGGTCAACAACGATAAATTGCAACATACAAGCACACTGCATAAACACAATTTAGAAAATTAATTAAAGCAAGTAAAGCAAAATAATATAGCGACTGACATGACGGGAGGGCCGAGCCGGGCCGAGCCGTGCCAGGCCGGACCACTGGCGGTAAAGAGGTCGCGTTGCGGCCTACTTTTCTCTTCGTGATGCTGCCGCCACCGCCAGACGCGTCAACAAAGTACGTACATATGCACACATAACAATAATAAACTAAATGAGCAGCAACAAGCACAAAAATGTAATTAAACTTTGCGAGCAAAGAGAGTGCGTAAATGGTTTCCTCATTTCATAATCAACATCTGCGTTTATTGACCATGTCGCACATTAACAGATCCATACACACACACACACACACATACACAATTTCATCGTATGTTTTGGGTTAACTTATTAGCGCCATTTGCATTTTTCTGTTGCAATTGTAAAGCAGCAACAGTCGCCACTCTCTCCATCCATCTCTTTATCTCTCCGTCCTCCTCTCCCCTTCGCTTACTCGCACTCGCTTATTAATGTCAGTCAGAGGAGTTAGTCAAAAGTCACTCGGCCGCATAACGGGAGCAGAGAGCGCGCACGTGCAAGCAACTCATGTTACCTCACACTTACATACACGCTCGCATTCACACTTACACACACACTCACACTTGTTTCCTTCTTTCTTTTGCAGCTTTATGATTTTCTTCTTTCTAATTATTGCACTTCATTGCGCAAACTTCGTTACATACATACACATATGTATGTAAAGCGTGTGAGCATGTGCATGTGTTTGTATTTGTGTGCATACATATTAACAATGTATTTTATTACATTTCCGTTTAATTACCTTCCAATTGGTTTTGCCGCCATTTGTTTGCATCTCCTTGCTTTTGTCTTTGCTGCTGTTACGATTGTTGTTGCAGTTGTTGTTGTTGTTGTTGTTGCTACTGCTGCTGTTTCTTTTGTCCGCTGCGGCTGCTGTTCCTGATGTATTTGTTACTGTTGTTGCCGTTGAATTACTGCCGACAACATTTTTGTCTGCATCGCGAGATTTTTTGATCTGCATAGTAAAAAAATAAAATTTTTAGATTTATAACTTTTGTTAAACATCTAAGCTTAGTAAATCTGTTTCTTTTTTTTACAGATATGGTAATGGCAATAACATGCACGACGCCAACAGGTGCTAATTGCACAAATTTAACACAACAACCGACCGAGAGGCCAAGGGGTTCGGGTTCGGGTTTGGTTGAGCCGTGACTCAAGCTCAACCTTAAGACCACTGCTCCAGATAGGCTGCGCGTGTGTGTGCGTATGCGTGTGTGTTGTTTGTATTTCTTTTAGCAGTTGGTATGCGAAAAGATTACAAAAATAACAAACATACATACACACAAACACACACGCGCGCGCACATACATACGTATGTACAGCTCTAGCAATGATGGCCCATAAACGAAGCCAATGTCAAGCGATCAGCGCCCCGGAGCGACTTCAGCAGCGACGCTGGCGCCAAAAAGAAAGAAAGTTGCGGCAGCGTTTCCCTTGCTCATCTCTGCGTTGGCGCACACACACGCACACACACATACACACACATCTATAGAAATGCACATATTAACATATTTTGGCGTCGCTGTTGAACTTTTATTTTCGATTCGGCAACTTTTACTTTGTCGCTTGTTATGTGTTGCTATCAACATTTTGTATCAACAATGGCTGAGCGACACCAAAAACAGCAGCAGCAGCAGCGGCAGGGGTAGCAGCAGCAACAACCTATGCCACGTTTCGTTTTCGCTTTTCTTTCACAAGACTAATTAGGAAAATTCATTAAAATCCACACACACGCGCCAGCATGAATGCAGCTTATAAACATGTTTGGTCGCAACATGTTGCCGGCGCACCGTGGAGCGCTCAACATATTAACTAAAATTTTCAAATTTAAGCCAACTAATTAAACTTGATAAAAAAGATACAACATAAATTGAAGTTCCCGCATGTTAATATTTTATGCATGCATCTTAAGTCGTGGGAATTATTTACTGCTGTCGCCCACTGTATTCGCATTGCAGAGTTGCCGTATCGTCTTTTGGGGGACAACAACAACAGCAGCAATGAAACAAAACACTTTCATTTCGCTGACGACGTTGCCGCATTTTTTTTTTCGTTCGCCTTGGCTTTGCATTTTTGACTGCAGTTGGCACAAAAATTCGCTTTCGCTGCGGAACCAGACAAACAACAACAACGGCAGCAGCAGCGGCAGTGGCAGCAGCAGCCATGGCGACAAATATTGCAAGCAATTCGAAATGCGCTTCTTCTGCGTCTTTGGCTTCGTCTTCCAATGACACTTGTCAATGGCAAACGAGTTCGTGGCCTAAGTCTTTTGAACTCTAATGCACGCTGCACTTTCACAGCTGCTCCTTGCTGCCAAACAGGAAAGGGGAAAGGTGGAAGGGGACGGGAGTAGTGGGCGCAGGGGTCTTCTGTCTGACCTCTATGCCACAAACGAAAGTTGCAATTATAATTTTTTTGTTCGATTCCAATGTTGAGTCAAAGTTGCCACAGCAAAATTTCTTGTTTTTCATTTTTATTTTTATAAATATTTATTATTATTTTTATTAATATTTATTATATTATTAATGTTACATTTATCAACATTTATTATATTATTATATTTATTAATATTTATATTTATATCTTATTTAGTTTTACTTATATATTATATATTTTACTTACATTCATTTTATAACATTTTTCATATCAAAAATAGCATAATATTTATTTTCAAAACATAACTTAATTTAACAAATTAAAAAAAGAATAATTAAAAAATATATTATTGTTATTTTAATTGCTCTATTATTAAAATTAAAGTAACAATAATATATTTTGTATTATTTATTACTCAATTTATATTTTTTACACAATGTTTTGTTTATTAAAAACTTAAAGCTTTTAATTATTTAGTATGCTTATTTTTTTTTAAATTTGAATACAATCATTTTTGCTTTTTTTTTTATTAAATTGTTTACTGAGTTTGGTTTTCATTTTCATGTTGTATTTATTTAGTTTTTGCTTTAATTTTTTATTTTATTTTTATTTTTTATTCACTCTTACATTATTTGATTTTTAAATGTTAAGTTTTATGTTATGTTAAGAAACTTTATTAAAACAAATTGTTAAAAAATACAAATTTTCAATTTTAAACTCAACCTAAAGTCGAAATTTGTTTTTTATTTTTGTTTTGTTTTGTTAATGCGGAAATAATTTTATTGTCTCTTTTTTTAGTATTTTTATTTTTCGGTTTAAGCTTTTTAAAACGTCACAGAGTGAGAAATATTTATTTTTAAAATATCATAATATAAAATAATAATTTAACTTAGCTAAATATTTATATACATAAATAAATATATTAAAAATTTCATGGAAATATAAAAGAAATTTGATAAAAGTAAAAACCTTGAGCTTGGCTAGCTTAAATGCGGAAATCATAAGCAATTTAGACGTTTATGTACGTGTGTATATATATATATATATATATATATGTATATATATCTGGTATATGGTACATATACGTATGCATTAATATGGCAACTATTCAATTAATAATATTTAACAAACGTTGTTATTTGGCTTAATTAATTGGCTCAAAAGCAGCTGAGGGCGAGATGAATTATTCGATTTGAGATTTAAGACTGGTTTCATATTGATGACTTATCCCAAATAGTCAAATAATAATTTTGTCAATTAAACGTTTTTATTCCTATTAAGAAATATATTTTACTTTTATTTGCTCAGAAAAATATATACTCTATATCATTTATATATGGAAGCAGACGAAAGAGAAGAAAAATATAAAGAAGTGGAAGAGAATTTCGAATAAAGCCAACTAAATTTGATTTGCAATTTGCGTTAACCAATTAATATTTTGGATATTTATGAGCAAAGATCTAAAAATGTAAAAAAATTTGATATAAACCAAAACTTAGCTTTGGTCCTTTTCCAAAGTTTTTATATCAGGTGACTTCGAATCTATGATTGTTATTGATTAGTTGTGTAACTTTAGAACAGGATAAGGATAGATAAGTAGATTTAAGTTAGATGATGGTAGCCTTAAGGCAAGTCGAACTGAAATATCCGATCAGAGTTTATTTTCGTATTTGTTAGGTTAAAAGACCAGATGTGATGGAACTTTTCTGATTAGCTGTTTGCGTTCGTTTTTATCGTTATCGTTGTGTATTTGTCGATATATTGTCATTTCAGTTATCATTAATCACAGCTTCGATTTCCCAACCACTCAGCTCTTTACTGGATTCCCATTGGAAAGTGCATCAGACGAAAATCGTGAAGAGGTAACATCATTTGCCACGTGCGGCAGCTGTGGCAGTGACAGCTTTTCTTTAATTTCCCTTTGAGCAAACAGCTGACGTTGCTGCTTGATGCTGCTTGCTGCATGCTGCTTACTACTTACTACTTACTGCTTGTTGCAGCTGCCACTCCAATCGTGACGAATTAATAACGGCGACCCCAAATGGCGAAAGCGCCAAAAATGTTGCACAGTGCACAGCGAACATTGCAACGGTTTTTTTACATGTCTGCCTGCCACGCCTCCAATGCGACGTGCGTAATTGGAATTGGGGCTGGAGTCGTTCGACGTGACTGGAAGGCATCAACAAAGCGAAAAACAGAAGAGAAAAAAACCAAAAGATACTTTGATTTCTCCAATTGGATTTTGGGTGTGTGTGCTAAAACTAGAAAACTGACTCATGCAAAGCAAGTTACCTGGGTATGGCCAACAGACACCCACATACAGGCACACATATTTATGTGTTTATATATTTATATGTATATTCGTATATGGCAAATCAAAATGCAATGCAACAAGCTGCTCATCAACGCTTTGGCCTCGTCTGCCTTTTGGCGGCCTCACGGATTTGCCTTTGCATTCAAATGAAGTAGAAAGTTCTTCAACAACAACAAATAACAACAAAAAATGCTAAAATAAAGTCTAAACTCAATTAATTGTAATGCCAACGGGCGCTTTCTCAGCATTTATTCACTATTCACCAATCAGAACGTGGCTCGAAATTTTGTGGGTGGAAATGCTAAAGAATCTTATAGGAAACTGATCTACATACATACAAGATTACGCACACATACACATGTATACATGTGTATGTTTATAATTAGCATACAAAGTTCATTGAATTTGCATGTTATGGTCAGAATATTAAACAGATCATATAACAAAGATCACTCTCACACACACACACGCACATGTTTACATACAGAGCTAAACCAAATTCCAAATTCCCAGCCAAAATATGCCGCTTGAATTCCAATTGGAATCACCAAGCAAACTTAAGTAGCTTAGTCTAATCGTTACATATTTGCATATAAAAATGTATGTATGCAAGGATGTGTTGTACATATGTAGTAAGTAGAACAGCAAAGCCATCATGTTTCTAAAAAAGGTTACATTAACCTTTGCACACTTTTGTTTCACATGCCAATGTAATGTGCGCATCAATTTTTCTATTAAGTTGTCAATTAGTTTCTGCCCGTGAGTATATTTCTATATATTCCTAATGGACTTTAAGTTAATTAATTGTACACAAAAATACTCTATATATATATGTATATGTATATAATTGTGACGTCACTGACAATGGATGGCACTCTCTATTGCGAATCATATACCATGCATACAATGAGCTTCAGACACAAGGAGTAAGCAATAAAAACAGTTGCAATTCGTCTCTCTTACAGAAAACTACCAAACGTTCAAGGCAAAGGACAAGGAAAGAAAGAAAACGGTTTTTGCGCCCCGTTTTGTTGTTGTTTCGCCTGTGTCACTGCGGCGATTGCTAATTATAGACAAAGTATTTAAAAGTAAAAGCGAAAAGGCTGAATTCTACTCTCACTCAACAGCTAAATGCTTAAAGTGCTTATATATGTATAAGTGTTGCAACTGAAAAGAGCTCAAATGTCTATTGCATACTACATATACACATGTGGTGTCATGCTATATCTGGATTTGTATGTACATTGAGTTACCTACAGAAATCAATCAATTAAAAACAATCCATTACTTAATTTTTATCCAGAAAGCATTATTCGACATACATGTATGTTTATATACATACATGAAGTCAAGGTTGTCCCCAATCTTTTACTGATTGCCCTCCCAAACATGAATTTTAATTTCCGCTGCCAAATTTGCATTGTTAAAGCTAACAAATGTTCATTAGTTTTTGCACACGATTGCAGCAGGAAAAGCCAAAAAAGAAGAATTGGTCAGTGACGCCAACGCAGTGCGTCGCCGTCAACGTCGGCGTCGACGCAGTTCAAGGCTAGGCAAAGTGGCGCGACTGCGCCCAGCTGAAATTAGTGTTCGAAAGAGGAGAAATGTTAGTTGGCAAATAGGGCGGCTACAAAAATAATAAAGCACTGCGAATCGGAATTGGAAAGTAAAGGGCGCCGAGTCACACACGCAAACACACGTGTATGTGTATTTATGCATATGTGTGCACGTATACTTATAATCGAAAGGAAATTCAATTTTAAATCCATTCTCACACACACACAATCGCCGCTGTTGGCTGCGCTGCAGCGTCGTCGTTTATAAAAGTCATAAAATGCTTGAAGCCGACACCAACAACAGCAACAACAACAACGGCAGCAACGCTGATGATGAACAAACAAACCAGGCGCTGCCAATGAATTGTGCTACTTTCTTTGCCATCAGCCGCAGCCGCTGCTCGCTGTTGTTGTTGATGCTGCCGCAGCGCTCGCTGTCAACGTCTTTGTTAAGACTTTGGAATTGCACATGATTTTTGTTGGTTTTGTTATTATTGTGGCCTATCGTTTGTGTTGTTGCTGCTGTTATTGTGCGGTTGCCTTTAGCTTCTAATTTATTTCAATGACATTTTTGAAATAAGAAAAATGCAAGCCAGCCACAAAACGAAGCACACTCTCAAGCCGCAGAAAGCTGATGTGCTGTTCTTTCTACACCAGGCAGAGAAAGTTCAAGCAAACGTATGTATACACTTATATGTGTATGAGTGTGTGTGTGTCCACACAGTGCTGCCATTAGCGATCGTTTAGCGGGTGGCCAGATTGATGCTGGCAGCTGCCATGAAAGGTCACTTAAACAGCTGCTGCTGCTGCTGCTACTCAACTTTTGCATTCAAATCAAACGTCAATTGCGTTCAAATAGAAAAGTTAAAGTAATAATGGAGCATGACTTCAAAGAAATAATACATACATATGTATGTATATGTATGTGTATATGCATAAAAAAAGTACAGAAAACAAGCTATTATTATTTTTCTAGTCTCCGTTGCTGCTGCCGCTACTTTACTAGTTTGTTATTTTGTACTGTTGCTGTTGCTATTGCTGTCGTGTGGCATTTGGCAAATGGCAACAACATTTCATATTGTTGTTGTTGCTGAACCTGTTGCAGCACATGGCAAATTGTGAGTAGAAAACGCGTTGATCTGCAGGCTAACTAAATAATAATTTCTGACTAGACGTTCCGGTACTTTATATGCATGTGTATGTATGTACACATATTCAAATGCAGAATCTACTCTCACTCTTCTCACACACACTCTCTCTCTCACTTTCGTATTTAGTTCGCAAATCCTTGAATAACAAAGAGAGCACATACCACGGCCATTGAAAAGGAAAATATATGGGCTTTATAAGAGTATACGAGTTTTGAACATGCAGCGTAATCAGTAGCAAAAGGTTATTTTAGGATATTGTGCGATTTGTGGGGGGTTGTGGGGTCTCAGAGTGGGTGTTATGCTAAGCGATGTGATGGCGTCAGCTTAGCCGCTGGCTGGGCTTTTGGTGATTGTGCAAAAATAGCGGCAAAACCAAAAGCCAACAACAACAAACATAATGGCAAAACCAAGATAAGATTGGCTTTAAACAAACAACTGAAAGTTGTTGCGTTTTTTTTCTAAGCCAAACGAGTTTGTTGTTGTTGTTGTTGTTGTTGTTGTCGCCGCAATCACTTTTGGCCGTGCGAGTCTTTACAGACTAGACTAGACTGAATGGAATGTCTTGCCATGCATGTATGTATGTATGTCAATATGTATGTATGTATATACGTATTTCTGTATATATGTAACGTAGATACAAATAACAATATCGCGACTTAAATTACAGCGACCGATCACAGGCTGCAAATTGCTCAATAGTCAACAATAACAACAATAACACACGCCCTGCAACAATAACATACAACAAAAAAAGAAGGCAACAGCAACAGCAACAGAAATTTTTGGTCAGTGAAAACCTTGGTTCACTTTGCCGCTGTCTGTCATTGTTGTTAACGGCGACATATTTTGCTATGGAAAAATTCTCACCGACAGCGGCTAAGCCATACAAAAAACAAAGCAAAAGCCAAAGTCTCTCCCAACTTCATTTCACAAACAACAAATTTTAGACATGGGCATTAAGTTGGTTGTCAAAACAACAACAGCAGCAACAGCAACATCAGCGATTTTGCATTCAAACAGTTGCAAATTATAATAACAACAGCAACAAAAGACGTCAACAACGCACGCAGTAAAACTTTTGATTTCTTTTGATATTCAACAGCAGCGCGCGGCTCAGCAATAAAAAGAGGCGGCAAATGCCCATGCGCCCAGAGCAGAAACAACAACAACAACAACAATAGCAGTGTTGCCAGCAAAAGTAAGTTACTAAGGCAAATTGGTTTATAACGGGACGAACTTTCACTAGCTTATGGATGCTGCTGCTGCTGCGGCGGCTACTGCTGCCGACTGTTGCCCATCAGCTTACTGCGGGGCGTGCCAAAAGCGCTCAAACTTTATAATTTGCATAATTTTTATAAACAGTAGTCAGCGGCTTGATAAATATAAGTGTGTACCCAAATATTCAAGAAAATGTACCAAGAATGAGATAGAGCAATAGGGTGTCCCAAAAATACCAAAAAAACAGTCCAAAAAAGGGTGGACCAAAAGTATCAAGAAAAGAATTCAAAAATTTTATACCAAAAATATTTAAAAAATGTAATGGAAATAACATGTCCCAAAAGTACAAAAAAATGCTTGATGAAAATGGAAAATATACTGCACCAAAAATATAATGAAAATGTACCAAATGTGAATGATGAAAGAAGAATTATCAATGAACTTATAGGGATAAATGATCAGCCAAAACTATCTAGTAAATGCGCAAGTATAAAAATAATTAAAATGTATAAAATATTTACACATTTGATTGAAATACAATCACTGTATAGCAGAAATGTTCCGTGTACCCTTGCATGGAAAATGAAGTCCCAGTTTTAGTACCATATGGAACACGTCTCACATGCTTGCACACATACCCACATGCATGCATATGCATGTATGTATATGTGTAGATGAACATTCGGCTTGCATGCATTTGGTGCATAACAATTGTAACTTGCTGTGCCGTTACTTTTTAGCAAATTAACTTGTTATCGATAGGCCTGTAATATTATAAGGCATCGCAGTCCTATTGCATAATCGAATTACGAACTACGAATATGACAAATAGCTAGTTCATATTTTAATGGCGCTTTAGTTTCACTTTTACTTTTGTCTTATTAATTAACATCGTCAAACAAATTTCCAATTATGTTAAATGACAAAAGCGAATGGGAAAGCAAAATGACCAACTTGAGACATAAGTGACCAAGTTGACGTCTTTAATATTTAGTTTAGTAACTAAATGGCTCAAAAAATGTATATGTATATGCATGTGTATGAGTCTAAGATATCAGAATCGAATTACCTGGCTATTGCTGCAATAGTAAATGTCCGACATCCTGGAACAGCTTTGGAAATCGTGTGTTATGATAGTTGGCGTCTCGTTTGCTCAGCTCCAACTGAAATGATGAACATGACCGCGTTCCCGAGCGCTGCAGCAGGTGTAATAGTTGCACACAGTTAAAGGTGTCACACGAGCGTAATTGTAAGCGATACGTTTAGCCACTTGCGCAATAGATTGAGTTGCCTCTCAGGATCAGATCAGATTAGATCCGGATCAAATTATTCGCATGCTTCTGCCCATATGTATATGAATACCAAACAAAATAACAATAACAAAAACAAAACAAAAACACAACAGCGTGTGGCTGCACTTCACGCTTCGTCTTGCAGAACACTTGCTCGCCGCAGCCGCTGCCGCCTGCCTTCTGCTACTTCTTATTATTAGCTTTTTCTGCTTTTTAGCAAACGAGAGCGCACGCGCGCGCCTTTCCCAAAGTACAACAACGGTTTATGGTGGCACAAAGCGAGCAAGTGGGAAAGAGAGCGCAAGAGAGATTGGATAACTGCTGACGATTTAGCGCGACAAGCAACCGACTCTGGCCGCGTTTAAAAGCTGACTGTCTTAAAAATGCGACAGCCCGCAGCCACTCGCAGCTGAGCAACTTCTTCGACGACGCAACCGCAACGAAAGTTGTTGCAACCAGTTTGACGGCTGTGGCCCATTCAGAGTGTCGGGCAGGCCGGCAGGGGGGAGATATAGGTGTGCGGGCGGTCAGCCAAGCGACCGACCGACCGATTAGCGCAAAGGACATGCACTTAAGCCGGCGATTTGTGATGAAAATGAATTATTAAAACGGGTCGCACCTGTTCGCGGCGTGAGCTGTTGCAAGGACGCTGGATAAATGCAAAAACAACAGTGTGACAATCATTACATTTTGTCACCAAATTTCAATTCCTTAGAATGAAAGCTACAACTTGTAAATTGATTGCAAGTTATTCCTTGGTTTGATTTAGTTCGCCCCGGTTCATGAACCTTGCTATCGTTATCAATGACGGTGAACCACTTTCGCTTGTTATCTATTTTATTATTATGATTTTAAATGCGTTTTGATTTTGTCAAGCTTAACATTTATTCTTTGTGTTTAGATTAACATTTGTTCGCTCATTATACGTTCAGATGATTTAATTATGGCATTGAAAATTGGACAAAGAATTGGTTTGTATAGAAAAACATAAGAATTTTATAATGGCAAGAGAGGACTTTTTGATTTGTGTTATTAGATATGTTAAATTACATTTTCATAGTGTTGTTAAACATTAATAGATATTCATATTTAAATTTGAACTTAACGTGCTGACGTTGCCACCTGCTGTACTAAATGATGATTTGCGTTCATTTCGAACAGCTGTTTCGTTTCTACAACAACTGATGTGCTATCGATTTTTTTTATTTTTGGGTGTTATGGTATCGATTTTTAGGCACCTGGATGGATTTATTGTTGTTATTTTTTGTTGGCACTTGATTTGATTTGATCTGTCTTCAACGCTATGATATAGCAGTTTATGTTCAGTTACTAAGACCTTCTAATGGCGCGAAATGTGCTAGAGAGCAGCCTTATGGGCGCTGGCTTCAGTATTATCTTTCAGGTGAGCCAAACCGCCACGTAAATTCGCAAGGTATGAGTCAGATTTGAACGAAATTCGTATTTTGTCATTATCTACAGATACTGTGCCGCATCCTTACGTTCGGCATCAATGCCTATATTGTGCGCAATGTAGGTCGCGAGGTGTTGGGCATTATGAATGTGCGCCTGCTGCTGCTCGAGAGCACGTTACTCTTCTTGTCCCGCGAGGCCATCAACCGGGCGGCGCTGAGCGCCAACTCTCAGCAGCGCGAGAAGTGCTCTTGGGCGCAGTTGATCAATCAGATGTGGCTTACGTAAGTGCGTGCCAGATGTCACAATTCCCACTTATCCTGCCATATTTCCACTACTACCTTTTCTCTCTATATCTCTTCCATTTAGCGTACCCATTTGCGCAGCTCTATGCGCTCCCTGTCTCTACATTTGGTTGTACTGGCTCTCAGCAGTGGATGCACCCTATAGCGCACAATATGAGTTCGCTTGCTATGCAGTGGCGTTGTCCTGTGTCTTGGAACTGATTGCCGAATCGACTGTGTTTGTTGCTCAAGTCTTTTGCTTTGTCAAGTTGAAAATTGTGCTTAATACGCTGCACATACTGGTGCGTTCGGCCATCTTCTTGTGGATTGTCACAGGGGATCGGAGTGCGGCCATTACTGCGTTTGCCATTGCCCAATTGGCCAGCGCCATGACCATTGTTCTGGGCCAATACGGATTCTTTATGTTCTACATTAATAGATTCAATGATTTCAAACTACGGCAGCAGCAAGCGCGAAAGAACAAAGCTGCCCAAGCTCTAAGTTCCTGGCAACGTTCGCTTTTTGAGCATATGGACGATTTTCCATTCACCAAACTCACCCAGCTGCTTCCAGGTGTGTTGAGCTGTACCGGCGGCGAGGCATTGTTCAACAGAGAGCTGCAAACGCTAACACTCAGCTTTGTGAAACAAGGCGTACTCAAGCAGATCCTCACCGAGGGCGAGAAATACGTAATGTCTGTGTCGCCGGTGCTCAGTTTTGGTGAGCAGGCCACCTACGATGTGGTGAACAATCTTGGCAGCATGGCGGCCCGTTTCATATTCCGACCCATCGAGGACAGCGCTTATTTCTACTTTACGCAGACAATCGCTCGGGATACACGTCTCAACAAACAGCCGCCGGAACGGGTACGCCAGGCGAGCAGTGTACTCAACAATCTGCTGCTGGGCGTTAGCTCAATTGGTTTGCTGGCATTCACCTTTGGCCAAAGCTATTCGCACACACTACTGCTGCTGTATGGCGGCGAGGATTTTGTTGCCGGTGGCCTGCCACAGCGTCTGCTGCAATGGCATTGCCTGGCCATCTATCTGCTGTCCGTGAATGGCATCAGCGAGGGCTATATGTTTGCGACCAACACCAGTCGAGACATCGACAAGTACAACTACCTGATGGCCATATTTTCAATCAGTTTCCTTATACTGTCGTACATTTTGACGGGCATATTCGGGCCGGTCGGCTTCATCTTTGCCAACTGCATTAATATGCTGGGACGCATCTTGTATAGCACCCGATATATAAGGCATCAGTATCAGCCGCTCGGCTTGAATCCGCTCCAAGGACTGTGGCCTGGCAAACTATTTGGTGGCACGCTCCTTCTAGCCGGCCTGGCCTGCTACTGGGTGAGTATACTCACAGCGATTGTATATTCTTGGATTAATTTCCCAATTTCGTTTAGTATCGTGATGCTGTCTTTGGCACGCATATGGGCATTGGTTTGGGCACAGGGATTCTGTGTCTGATTGCCTGGGCTCTGGCACATCGGGATCTGATGCTGCTAGGCTGGAAATATGGTCGTCGCATCAAGATCGAATGATGTTGAAAATTGAAATTATTTGTTTTCCTTTGTTGCTAATGTTACTTGAGCTCTACTTCCTAACCTGAGGCACAATTTTCGCTTCTATGAATCGCACATCACGTTGGACATACGTAAATATATATACTTATCTATATATTTATATATAGTTGAAAATAAAATAAATTTTAGTTAAGTTATTGTATGTTAAAATTTATTAAATTGCCTAATTATAATGTTTTTCGCTACAAATTGTTAAAAACGCATAAAAAGACAACGAAATAAATGAAATTAAGCCAAAAATTTAAAGGATAAAGAATTTAACGGCTATTTACTTAAACACCTATTTCTAAAAACAACAAAAAATAAAAAGATTTAGATGTATTTCACATCAACTCTTTGAAATTCATATTAGGGTGAAACGCGCCCTCAACGGCAATTTTTATGCTTAAAGCAAATAAAAAAAATCAAACCGATGTTTGGTTACTCATTACGTGGTATCGATAATTTATCGGATTGTACGTTAAACAAGCGGCGAGCGCGCATTGCAGCGGAGACAAGAATTTTGTTTGGTTGTGTCTTAACCAAAACATTAAGTGAGCTCAATATGAAGCGCGGCAAGGATGAAGACAAGGATGATGTTGCAGTCAACAACAACAACAACAATAGTACAAATAAAATAAACAACGCATCGCCAAACGTAAACATAGGCAGCAACAGCACTGATGCTAACAGCAGCAGCAACAACAACACGCCCTGCACAGTACGCACCACAGGTCGTGTCAAGGTACTGTATATACAGGCAATGGATACACTCCACTCTTATATTTCACTTACATTTTACAGAAACCGAAACTAGTTTATGATCCGTCTGATAATTACATATCGCGCGGGTCGCGCAACTCGTTGCCAGCAGCGGCGTCGTCGCAATCGCAGCCAGCGCAGTCTACATCAGTCAGCGCAAATGCGTTGCAACAGCAGCAAACATTGTCGCAACAGTTGGCATCGTCGCAGTCCTTGACATCGCAGTCGAACACAGCGAACCAGCAGGCAGCGCTTGCCAGCGATTTGGCATCCCAATCAGCTGCAAACTCCAGCGGTAAAGATGATTCCAAGGAGACGGTCGCAGTGCCCAGCGCGGAACAGCAGCGCAACTTTGATACGTGCATGAAGTGCGGCAAGAGCGAGGCAAAGCGTGGCTCTGGCTATAAAAGTAACTTTCTCACCTGCAAGTCCTGCACCTTGAAATGTAAGTCAATTGTGGGGCTAATCATATATTTAACAAACATTTGCTCAACTTGTCGTTGTTGTTGTTGTTTCACAGGGCATTTTCTCTGCTTGCCAATCACATTTGAAATTCTAACAAATGCACGCAAGAAATTTAAATGTGAGAAATGTCGTCGCTGTCTCATTTGCATGACCAGTAAGAACGGTGACAAACTCAAGGAGCTGGTGATGTGCTGTGCCTGCGCCAACGTTTATCATTTGGACTGCCATTGGCCTCCGATTATGCGCGACAAGTTAAGCGATCCGAAGTGGAAGTGCTATTCCTGTTGTCCCAACTACAATCCGTATAATACTGAGGATGATGGTGCTGCACCTGGTGCTTCTTCCAAAATTGATCCAAAATCTCCGCCGCGCAAATCGAAGGCTGGTCGCAAGAAGCGGGCCACTTCAGACCCAGCTGCTGCCATTGTCAAGAAGACAGCATCGAATCACGTTCTAAATAAGAACGGAATTATCGAGAATTCGAACAACAACAACAACAACAACAATGCCAACAAGCCATCGACCATAGTATCCAAGACCTGCGACAGCGCTACTGTCATCCCAGCGTTCTCAAAGCAAGAAAGTGAGAAAGTTAAAGGCAGTTGTGAACTGGCACCGTCGTCGAATTGCCCGCCAAACACTTCGATTCCTATTCTAACATTGCCGATCTCAAAAGAAGACAAGGAGAATGGAGAGAATAAAAAAATAGTTCCAGCTTTGACGACAGGCAACGAGGAGAGCGAAGTGTTGCCCGTGCAGACCTGGAATGTTGAGCAGGTTGTTGGCTATGTTGAGAAGTTCTATCCGCGCGAGGCTAGCGTCTTCAAGTCCCAGGAAATTGATGGCGCCGCATTGATGGTGCTAACGCGCCAAGACGTCATCGATCGCTTCGGCCTGAAGCTCGGGCCAGCGCTGCGCATTTACGAGCTGGTCCTTGGCCTCCAAACATCTGTGGACGACGTAACCCTTGCCTGGTGTGAATAGCTATCTGCTGTCTTCTCTTCTTCTTCTTCATCTTATTACTCGATATTCATAGTTTCTTTATTTTCATGTTTTGTTAAGTTTTAAGTCACTGCACGCTCCGTAGAAGGAATATTCTATTTAAGTTCACTAGCTTAGGATCAAACGAAGCCCTACGAAGACCATTTGATTTCCTCATTACATGTTACACATTCATATGTATATTTTACTCCAGAAAATAAAACAAAATCCTATTTATGTATATGTATATCCTTAGTCGAGGCATGTCGTAGCTTTGCCGAAAAACCTTTTTAGTTCTATGCAGCAATCGTATATACGCAAGTGATTTATATAGATATCTATTCGTGAATTTAGATATTTTAAAATTACTTTAGTTATTACATTAAATATTAAGTTATTCTTTTTTTTATAAAAATAAAGAAACATTTGGCCAAATCTTCAATTCATTCCATCTTTTTCTAGCTATTTCTATACGCTCAAACCTTAATTAAAGATAAATAAAACTATTCTTGAACATATAAAAGTGTATATATTTTTGCTTTTTGAATTTATTTAACACATAAAACTGATGGTCTGAGTAGTTCAGTTGCCGGCTAAAGAACTTTATATATAAATACGTAATGTTAGCCCGAGCGTCTTATTCAATTCGATCAATGGGACTTAATATAAATATATATATACGCATATGCATATACATATGAGGTTATTTGGGAATGCTTAAGGCTTCCGCGTAAAATATCAAAAGCAGTACGAATATCAAGTTGAAGTACAAATACAATAATCACGTGGACTTCGAGGGGCCCAAAGTAAAAAGGAAAACATAAACAACAATACAATACTGTTGGCAAAGGAAAAGAAAACATGATGTTGCCTAGGATTAGATTGGTGAACAGAGGCCTATTCGAGTGCATCGCGTTTGCTCAGACCCGTGGCAGTAGTTTCTCCTCGTCACCGGCGTCAGTGTGGGACACAGGCTTGGCATTGGCACGGGCAGGATCATAGCCATAAAGAAATATTGAGGCAATAACCAGCATGGCGCCTGCACTGAACTGGAGCGTTAGGTTGAAATTGAAAATGTAGATAGATGCGATGCAGGAGATGATGATCGCCAGAGAGGTGGCGAATCCCTTAAGTATATTGTCCGCATACTTAACAACGACGGCCACGATAAGGCCGCCACCTGCCTGCAGCAGCACCAGATACCACACAAAGACATCATAGCCATGAAAGAAGCCAAAATTATAGATGCGACTGGCATCGTTTACAAAGCAGGTCAACAGTCCGAACGGTATGCTCAGCAGACTGAGTTGAACGTTGCGCATCCACACGGAGATTTCGGCACCCTTCAAGATCTTCTCAAAGTAGATGCCAGCGAAGCCGGACAAGAAACAGGCACCCAATGCCGCCCACAGGCCCAGCATACGGTTCTGCGCGGGCGCCAAGGGCGACGTCAGCGTTGCACTGGCAGCTGTTGAAACAGTGTTACCACCGGCACTACCGCCGGTGCCGGCGCCGCCGTCTGTTTGTGCCAGCTGCACCAGTACAATGCCCAAGACGAGCAGCAGCAGAGCGCCCCACTGTGTGTTGAATAGCTTTCGGCGCAGTATGACAACGGCGAACATTGCGGTGGTCAGGATCTTTAGCTGGTATGTCACCTGATAGGTGGCCGCATCCAAGTGCGATGCGGACACATACAGCAGATTGTTCTGCACAATGTACACCAGCGATGGAACACACACTTTCAGCGTATCCACCGGATTGGCAATGATCGTCTTGTGCAACGAGCGCACAAATTTCTGGGCATCTTTGCCCTCCTCATTGAAGACCAGCACCAAGCATGTGATTAGCTTAACAAACTCCGCCATCAAAACAGCTGCAAATAAAGAAGTTACAGTTCATATAATGCCAAGGAAAAACAAGCACACAAATCAGTTAAAGCGATGCGAGACCGTGCTCACACAGACAGAAACACACACACACACATGCACGCATAAATACACTCGCATACAGGAAATATATAACATTAGTTGCTTATCAGCTGGGGCACCAATCTTTCGCCATTGTAGTTGCCCCTAATTGAAAAATGAACCTTTTGCGATCCCATTAAAACAAAGTAACGAATGTATATATATATATATACATATGTGTGTGTGTGTTTGCCAACAGCGCATCTGCTTACGTTGTATATTGTGGAGTCTCACCTGTGGAGCTAAGAAATATGTCGCCCGGCCGAGTGCGCGCATAGCGCATGCTGAGACCCAAGATCGCATTTTGTAATGTTAATGTGAGCAGGCTCACATACTTGAGCGTGTTGGCGTTGACTGTAAGAGTTGTAAGCGACATGTTAGTGGTAATAGTTGAGCGTTACTAACTTTTGCAACTAAATCACTGCCACCACTTACCGTGTATATTCATTTTGCGCTTAGCGTCTGTTTTGATATCAGAGCCGGCAAAGCGTGAGTTTGAACCAAAATAGTTTAAACAAAAACAAATAAGAACGAAACGAAAATGAAAAAAGAAAAGAAAATAAAGGGAAACACCTGTTTCGGTGATAAACAATTGCTGCGTTGACAGTACGCGCTGCCCGCCTACCGTGCGCGTTGTGTCTTCAACAATTTTTTGGCTATGAAGAAGGCACGGACACGTAAACAAGCTTTCAGCTCATACTGCGTCCAGTTTTATCGTGTATTGTTGTTTTTGCTTTTTTCGTATTTGCTGTTGCCCAATGGAATGCTTTCGATACCGATAACTATTGCTCAAACCATTTACATTCAGTAACCAAGTATCGAGTACACGTTCAACACGAACTGATTTACAAATTAAAATATCGATTTCATCTTGTTTTGTTGTTGTTGAACAAACGTTGCCAGTGTAATTTGTTATTTTCTCCTATTTTTACAATTATAATAAAGAGCAGATTGTCAAAATGCGGGAACAGCCGTTAAAGGAAGTTACACAATTAATACATGCCATTAAAATTGGGTAAGACACGTACAGCAAAAAGTATGCCATTACGTACAACTAAGCAGCAAATGTATTTGCAGTTTAGTGGAAGGTTCCTACAGCATTACCAACAAAACACTAGACATCTTTAAGTATATCATTATGAGCAAGAGCTGGGATAGTGCAGAGTAAGTTGATTAAGAGCTCACTGTCGTTATCTATAGATTTAACTATTTGCCTACATTGCCAGCGCACTCATGCAGATTGTTCGTGCCCAGTCGCGAATCCTGCAAGCGGCTTTACCCCAGGAGACCGTCACTTCGAATATAGCACGACGTATACTGAAGTTAACACGCGAGGAATTCGAGCTGTTGCAAGCAAAGGTACAGCATTTTGCCGACGACTCACAAGCTTCTCTATCGCTGCACAAGCTGGTCACACAAACCAGCGAGAGCTGTGTCAGCGTGGACTATTCGGTGCCGCAGCAGGGATTACGCGAAGCGCTTCTGGATCATTTGCAAGAAGTCGAAACAGAATTGGAAACCAGCTCGGAAAACATCAGCGTCCAAGCTGAGGAGCACATACACTCGTCAGAGATAATACTTACGCTTGGACATTCGCGTAGCGTAGAAAACTTTCTGAAAAGGGCCATCAAGAAGCGACAGTTTCTTACAATAATTGTAGCCGAATGCGCTCCTGCCTGTCGGGTAAGTCAAGTGGCGTACTTTTTCAGAAATTGCACTTTTAAAACGGGATTTGATTAAGTCCGGAGCGGCACTGGTTACACCAACAAACGCATAACAATCGCCACAAATTGGTCATAAAATGCTCAATGAATTTACAAAGCCAAAGTTTGGCTTTGATTATTCGGTTGAGTACACACATTTATATATAACAGTATCTATATATATATTTAGATGTCCTTGACAAGTCCTTGTATAATGCTTGCTTTCTCTGTCTATCCGCAGGGTCACAATTTAGCTGCGACTTTGGCACAGGAGAAGAATGTGGAGATTATTGTAATTCCGGATGCATCCATATTTGCAATGATGTCGCGCATCAACAAGGTCATCATTGGCACACACAGCGTTTTGGCCAATGGCGGACTGCGGGCTGCTTGTGGAGCGAACACAGTTGCCCTAGCGGCCAAACACTACTCTGTGCCGGTCATTGTGCTGGCGCCCATGTATAAGCTCTCCCCTTTGCATTTGTGTGAACAGGATGCGTTCAATATGGTTGGCTGTGCCGAGGACGTTATCGCGTATGACTCAGTGCCGGCACGCGATGCCAAGGTCTACAGTCCCATGTTTGATTATGTGGCACCCGAACTTGTCACGCTCTTCATATCGAATGCGTGAGTGGCCAATTACTTTAATTTAGCTCAGTCATTGTCCAATTCTCGGTTTATTTATTTATTTTATTTTTTAGCGGCGGTCATGCTCCCTCTTATGTTTACCGTTTGCTCTCCGAGCTCTATCATCCAGACGATCTGGAACTTTAAAACTGAACTCTTCACTACTGATTGTACATCAAATGTATATATTTGTAACGCAATGGACTTGGCCAACAACAATAACAAGACTACAGCAACGATAAATAAAATAATAATAAGTGTGCGCAATTTGGTTCTACTGCAAGTTCTTAAACAACTCTATGAAATCGGCCAGACTGTCGGCATAGTAGTCTGGCTGAGCTTCTGGCGACGCCGCGTCCATGTCCTCCTTGGTTAAACTGCCTGAGAGTACGAGCAGAGACTGAAAGCCACAGGATTTGCCAAACTGCACATCCTGCACGAGCATATCGCCAACGAAAATGCAACGCTCAGGTGCTTCTATGTTGTACATCTCCTTCAGCATGTCGCCCAGTATGGGTGATGGCTTGCCCAGAAAGATTGCTTCTCGATCTGTGTAGTGTCTGACGTGTTGCAAGAAGTCATAGAAGCCAGGTACATTGAGATTCTCTGTCAATGGCATAATAACATCACTGCCACCTGCAATCAGTTGGCAGTTCTTGTTCATCTGAAGATGACGTATCGCCTTGGCCAGCTCCACGTAGGACATGTCCAGATGAATGTCAAATAGGACAGCGTCTACAGTTTGCTCAATGGCCAGATGTTCGACCAGTGTGGCTGACGTCAAGTGCTCCTTGATTTGCTGTAGTTTTATGATTTTATTCTAGAGTTCGACTACATTTTTGGGCATGCTAACTCACCAGCGACTCATACTCGATTCCGTGCTTACGCAACGTCTCGTTGGCTTCCAGAGACATAAGTGAGTAGACGCGTTTGCCCGGCTTGTGCTTGTGCAAATAGCGCACAATACTTTTAACCGGATGTACTACGTCATCGTGTTGTATATTCTTGGCTCCAATATGGTTGAATTTGTCCATGTATTGGTCATCGGTGCGGAAACTATTGTTCGACACGAACTTAACCGATTTGCCGGCACTCTTAAGAGCATTTATCGCCTCGCCGGCTCCGGGTATCCAGCCATGGAGCAGCCAGACAACTCCATCACAATCGCTGATTACCATGTCGAAGGAGTCAATAAAGTTGCGCTGCTCCTCAACGCTGAGGTCCAGTATATGCCGTGGTGCCATTATAATTACAACCGTTGGTAACGAAACTGTGGACGCAACTAACCGGGGCGCTCTGCCCGTTATTATAACTGTTTGTTGCTTGGAGGCGGTCGAAGGAGGTGGTGGATGCTGTTGCGCGCGCACGCCAATTAACAGTTCTACTGATTGCCAAGGCAGCCGTTTAACCTTCAACGTCACATTGAAGTTCCAGCTGTTGCCTACGCTGATTTTACTCTAGCTGCTCATATATATACTATATAAATTTATATGTATCTACTTATCTTATGATTTAAGTATTTTTCCAACTAATGTGCGATTACGGCAGATAAGATCCCATGTGGCCAATCCATGCCCATCATTTACAAAGGTTTTTACTTTTCTCAGCCTATGAGCACGCAGTGCATGATCATAATAACTCGCGTAACTCTTATTGCGTTACATTTAAATTAAATTTTGTTGTCACTGCGTTCATAAAGATAAAGCGCGCATGCCAGCGTTGCCGGACTCTGAAATAAAGTAGTTTTGGACAGACATTTGAAATTTGAAAACAGTGTGACCGTACGCAACGCCTTGGTGCCATTTCACAACAGTCGCTTTTAAAATTTGTGTTAACATATTTATGAATTTAACAAGGCTATATACCAGAATACACAACACAGCCTTATATAAGTTGTTATAAATGAGATCTGCTCAGAGCGCTAAAACACATTCGATGCTTCAACCTTATTTTAAATGACTCTAAGAGCACCAAACGTGAGGGTATAAGAATCACCTTTCTCTGATTTACTCTGATTTGCAAACTTATTCAAGCCAAACACGTATCTCTTAGCGTAGTTTGTTAAATGTAGCTGGATTGCAACCATTGCACAAAGCAGCAATAGACATTTCTGATGGAGGGAGCACAAATGATCTGCAAAGATACAAATGCTTAGCTGTGGATCTTTATTTTGAACTGCTGCTATTGGAAGACTCATCAAAACTGACGCATAAAACTTTTAAAAAGGCTATTTTTAAATTGAAATATTTGATTACCTCTTAAAAGGCATTAGTGATTTGGTAACGTATATGTTCACAGGTTAAGCTCTGAGTATTCTGCTTGATTCCCAGCAAATGATGTATGATATTTCGTGCCCTTGACATTAGAAAAGTTTGTAAGTCCCCTAAAGCCATATATACATAGACGTACACTATTATGCAGACATGGCTAAGTTTTCTAAATCGAAATCGGAAACGAAAACGAAAACAAAAGCGAAAGTAATCCCTGACCGCACTCTGACATGGGCAATGATTTGAGGCAAAACAAATGCAGTAAAGCTTGATGGAAGGGAAAAGCTGTAAAAAATAAAAACAAAAGAAAACGAACGTGGAAAATTGGCAATGGCAATAATTGGAATACATTGCCAAACACGTTATCTGTGCAGCGTAGTTCTGGCTGAAAGACAAACGACGGAAGGCTGTGAGACGGCTAGCAGAGATAGTAGTTCGACTACTTAGTACTAAGCAAATAGGCGCTCGCTTAATACATGCGTAAATGGGCATGATAAATACATAAATATATATGTACATACAGAGCAACGAGCGATCATATACATATGTACATATGTACCTATGTATATGTGTACATATATCAAAAAAATCCAAATCGATTGGCTGCCTAGTTAGGCGTTTCTGATAAGATAGAAGACGCCTCGAGCCAGCGAACACGGCACTGCACGTACAAAGAGAGAGAATCGGACGGACACACACACACACACACACCCACACACACCCATACACGTTCACATTCCAGAAAAAGCGATACATAACCGGCCTGAAACACCGAGAGCTGCGCCAAGTCCCAAGAACTAGTCGTGATTATACAATTATTAGGCAAGCAGCAAGCAAGGAGTAGGAGACATGAGCAGTGCCGAGCAAGCCAACGTTACCATTGTCAGTGCCAACGGGCATGCGCCGAGCATGGAGCTTGGCGACAGCGACAGCAGCTCGACAGAAGCAACAATTACATTGAGCAACAACGACCAGTTGCAGATCATGGGCCAGCTGCGTAGCATTGAGCAGATCAATGAGCAGCGACGCATCTTCCTGAAGAGCACCATCAATGAGATACAGGAGGGGAACAGCAGCGAGGCAGCGGAGGAAGTGCCAGAGCTAAGAAGACAAGTGACGCCGCCCAATAGTCTGGCGCTCAGTGTGAAGTATGCCACGCTGCCAAGTCCATCGTTGGCCACATCGACGCTGGTGCGTTCGCCGCTGTCGCCGCCGCCCAAGCCGCCGATGCTAAGCCGGACGCGCAGCTCATGCTCGGGTGATGCACGCTCGCCGCTGGGCAATGGTGAGGCGTCTCTGTTGCGACACAGTGCCACAGAAACTGCCTTGTCGCAAGCTGCTAAAGCACCAGCAACGACAACAGCCACGCCCACTCCGGCACCAGCAACAACAGCAGCAGCAGCAACAGCAGCAACATCAACCACAACAGCAACAAAAACGTCCATCGAGCAGACTGCACAGCCAGCTTCCATATCGGCCAAGCACTATGAGAGCTTAATCGAGGAGCTGCGCTGTCCGGGCTGTGCCAGCCCCATGAAGGCGCCCGTCCTGCTCTGCAAGAGCGGGCACAGCGTGTGCGAGCAGTGCACCCGCATCCGCCTAATGTGTCCGCTGTGTAAGGTATGTAGCTACGTATGTGCGCTATGGCAATATAGATATCATGCTTCAGATACAGCTACAGCTACATAGAGTACATGTACTTGTGCATAGAGCAACCAGTTGAGCAGCACCTTGAGTAGTTCCCTTTTGGGTTGACGTCAGCGTTAGGTAAGCGATATCAAAGCACTTCAGCTCGCCCAGCGCAGTGCCGCCTTATCGCATCTTCTTATATGACGTTTCGCTGGCAATTACAGTGGAACCTGCCTCATGTCGTTCCCCGCTTTTGAATTTCAATCAACTTAGAAGATATCAAAATTTGCAGATTACTTTTTATATCAGTTCCAAAATGATCGAAAATGCAATCTAAAATTGATTGATTGATTGACTGACTCATTAATATGGAAAGTTCCAAGTCCAACAAATAAGAGCACGCTAGTCGGGAGTATCCGACTAGGAGCTGTCTTGCTATCTGCTATTCCATATCGCTATTCCTTGGGCTGCAGCTTTACCTGGGGAAATTTAGTTCTGAATGACTTTTCTTAGCTAAGGACTTTCCTTATCAAGTTTTTGAGCTTGATAAGGACATCTCGACGTGTGCCAAAATTAAAAGTATTTGAAATACTTGAGATTTTATTTTTTTAATTTAATTTGCTGGAAATGAAGTAGTTAACCAAAATCCGAAAGATACAAAAGTCACAGGAGCCGGCTAGGTAAATTTAAAGTTTATCTTCAATCAATCAAATCAAATGAACGATTTTTATCGATAATTTGGCAATGTCATCGGAATGAGTCAAAGGAATTTACATTAAGCATTTCAAGTCTGCTTTGGAATATACTATTTTTGTATTAAATATAGAAAAGAAAACATTTCAATTCGAATATTGCTCAAGAACTCGAGAGCTATGTGTGCACAGATGTTTCTAAATATGTTTCTTGGGAAACAATAAACCAGGCTAAATGATATATCATCTTAAGCGCTGCATATTGCCAGCAAATTGAGGAATATTTAAGTTATATTTCGAAACTTTTTGTGTGTAACAGGCAGAGTGAGGCGTGGCAGTAAATATGAAGTATATATATATATATATATATATATTCATGATCAGAACAACTAGCTAGTTGCAGTTGTATGGGTACAAGAAATCTATAATGAATGAAGCACTTTAGGATATATCTTAGTCGGGCACTTCCTGACGAATGTTTCTTTGTATATGTATGTACATGTATATGTGTATATACATGTGTATGTGCATGACTTATCCATGTGTGTGTGTGCAGGGAATCTAGAATGATTGCAGCTAAGCTGGTTAGCTGAGGGTATATTCAAGTCTGGCACTTCCGACTAAAGACTAAAATATAGATATCTATATGTAAGCATATATATATATATATATATACATATATATATAAGTTAACTTATAACACTTAGTTAGCTTATAACACTTAATGTAAGGTATTATTCAACACTTATTATCGGGTGCTAGACAAGTTAAGGAACAGCCCTGGCAAGGGCAACTCTACTTACGCCGGTGAGGCTATGATTTGTAAAAATATAGATCAGTCTCGTGTTTTAACTCGTACTGATAGGACATGCTAAAAATTGGTGTCATATAAGTAAAACTAAAAATAGTGAATATAATAAGAAAAACCAATAAAATTAACTGTTTCGATTATTCAAAAAAGAACAATTAAAAGCAGGGTTAAAAAGCGTTCTTCCAGTAAACCGCTTAAATAAATATTCACTCCGTCATTTGCTCGTTAAATGGCTTATTTCATTGTCTGAGCCCGAGGCCAGCAATAAGAGGCACAGTCGCCTCTCAACCTAACTTTCAGTCACCACAGGACTGGAAAACATATAATTTATATATATATATATGTACATAGATTGCAATCAAAATGATTTGGCATTTTGCAGGAGGCATTCACGAATTCGCGCTCGCTGACCATTGAGGCATTGTGTGCCAAGGCGCATTTCGGATGCAGCTTCGCGGCGGGCGGGTGTGTGGTTCGGATGCCGGTGGCGCTGCTGCCGTGGCACGAACAGCAGTGCATCTATAAGCCGATGAAGTGCTTCATGGGACGCGTGTGGGGCGATTGCAAATGGCAGGGCCGGGAGGTGCAGTGGAAGCAGCACCTGGAGGAGCAGCACACGACGAAGCTGTTCTGTGCGCCCACTGCAGATCTGGTTTGGAATATGGCCAAGCAGATTAGACCGCTGACGGGCTACTACGTGTTCCAGGCATATGATGAGATGTTCAACTTTTACGAGATCTACGACAAGCAGCGCATCCTCTTCACCATGACGTGCACCTCGAATCGGCGCGAAAGCAAATATAACTATGCCTACGAAGTGACTCTGCTGCAGCCGAACAATGAGGCGCTATCGCTGACCCAAAAGTTTCCCGTTCATAGCGAATACGACAAGGACATTCTGCTCGAAGGCACCTGCGTCAGCATTGGGCTCAACGAACTGTCGCGCTTTGTCGACGACGACAAGGTGAGCTTCAATTACCAAATGCCAGAGATCAAATACCAAATGCCAATAATTCTTTATTGCCCAACAGCTACTCCATTATCGGGTGACTGTTATGGCGGTCAGATCGCCGCGCCTTTCCAAGCCTATGCGACAGAGTCTGCCACAGCCGCTCGACTATCAGCAGACGAAGAATGCCGGAGGCAATGGCAAGAGCGTGCCCGCCTGCATGATCATAACACGCACCTACAAGGAGGCCGTCGGCGAGGTGGCCAATATATCAGCTACTCCAGAAACACCGGATAGCGAGGAAAGCGGCCCCGGCTTGGAGCTGGAACGTAAATGGGGCACCCCACAGTTGCACTTCAATCGCAAATATTTGAACAATACGTCCAGCGACGTCTCCAATAATAGCGATGCAAAGGAGGACATACTGTGCCCGCTCCAAGAGACGCGCGCCAGTGTCCAGGCGGCCAACGAGGACAAGCTCTCCACGTGCAGCAACAGCACTAGCTACACCAAAAAGGTCTCCAACTCCTTGCGCAGAAGTATCCGTTCGCTGAAATATGACTTAATGGATCTGCGACCGTTTGCCAAGAAGAAGTCCACTGCGACGCCTGCAAAACCAGCAGCAGCAGCAGCAACAACAACCACAAAAGTAGCTGCAGCTAATCAGTAGAGTTGGCTGCCATTTCATGGAAACATATTTATAGATGTATACAGACTCCCTGTCAGATCAGATTACTTGTGATTTAACTACGGCTAACAATATGTAAATAGTTTTTTTTTATTCAACAATTTGGGGTTTCACGGTTCCTTAAAGTTGTTATCTGAATTGGATATTGTTTACAATAAACTCATAAATAAAAGACGAAATACTCCAACACAAAAAAGCAAAGGGCTTAGACACTATGTGAAAGGTTTAAAGTTAACATAAATCAATATTTTCAAAAGCTGTCGCTTGAATTAATTAAGTTTGCTTATCTCTCTCACTAGAAATGATCTTCAAATTACTTTTTTTATAAATATATGCCTCAATTTGAGCATAATAATGTTTTTGTTTTGTCGTTAACTTTTCCTTTTCGAATTCCTAACTTGTATCTGGCTAAATATAAATGTTACTTCGTGTATTTTTACATAATAAACTTCGGTTCGGCAGACTGCGGAGTCCTAAGCTGTATTGTGTTTCTTATATCCATTCGTCGGCATTATTGTGTTTGCATATTGCAAATAGTTTGGGGTTTATCTTCTTATCGTACGCTTATCGAAATTAAACTATATATTTAATGTACAATTAGGCTGGCTATAGGTTGTGAGTAGCTGCTGTGCTACAGCAGACCCTGCATCTCGTTCATGAATTGCAGGTAGGCGTCGTCTTTCGTGGGTGGCTTGTGTGTCTCTGGCGGGGCATGGACACTGCGGTCACCAACATCGTGGATGCCTGAGTGTTGCTTGCTTCTCGCTGCTCGACGCTGGTCGTCGCGCTTCACGCGCAACGTTGACGGCACAAATCGTGTCACATCTGCGCTCAGATTCCTACAAAATACACGCCAAGGCAAGAGTAAATGAAATCGTGTGGGCAAAGATGGATAAGATTTAGAGGACATACCTTATTTGTGGTTTTGCCGTGATGATGGTTACGCCTTTGCCAGGCTCTTTGCTTTGCGATGCATTAGTGTTGCCATGCTTGGGATGATGGCCACTCATGCGGGGCGGTAATCCTGGCGGCGGACCTGGAGGCATTCGTATGCCCATGCGCGGCATTGGGCCGAGAGCGTGTGGCGGTCGTGATCCTGGCGGTGGACCAGGCGGCATACGCAAACCAAAACCGGGAAGACCCGGCCCAGGTGGCCGCATTGGGGGCGGCCGGAACATTATGCCCGGCGGCGGAGCGATGCTACGCAAATGCGGTAACTGTGGCAACTGTGGCAGCGCTGGCGCACTTGGCGGCAATGGTATCGCAGGCAATGAAGGCGCTGTTGGCGGTGCTGGCACTGACGTGGTAGCGCCAACTGCACCTGCCATTGGCTTAACTGTTTCTTTGGTGGCATTGAAAGCTGGTTGCTTGGCATCGGCATCTGAACCTACATCATCATCAGCCTCTTCTTCTTCTTCTTCGTCGTCACTGCTAGAGCTGCTACTGCTACTGTGGCTGTTAGCTCCTCGTCTCCGGGCAGGGGGTGATTTACTCTCCGAAGCGCTATCCCGCTTGTCATCCTTTTCTGCTTGATCCCTATCATGTTCTTCGTCGCTCTGCAGCTTGCGATGCTTGCGCTTGTGTACATGCTCCATTTCTTTCATGAAGTCGTCTATATTCTGCATTCGCTGCTGCAACTTGGGGCTGGTGGCTGCTTCTTCCTCTTCGCCTTCGTAGTCAGTGTTACCTTCTGCATCCGAGTCGAGCTCCGACATGGCAAACAGATCTGGCGGCGGCCCTGGGGGCACGCCTAGCCATTCCTTTTCGTCGTCGTCTTTTGATTTATCTGAGTGCAAGTCGGACGCAGCTTCGCTGTTCTTAGCAACACCTGGCGGTGCACCAGGTGCAAATGGCGGTAAAGCTAACGTCATAGGAGGCGGTGGCATACGAATGCCACCAGATCCACTCGGAAATATTATGTTATTATTGCTGTTCCCTGTGCTCGCGCCGCTCGAGCTGGCATTGGCTGCTGTCACTGGCGCTGGCAGTGGAATTTCATCAACTTGTACGCTCTGAGCATGCTTAACGCTTTCATAGTATTGCTGCTTTTTCAGTCGCTTCTTCTCATAGTCCACCTCCTTACGTTTGAGTTCAGCCCAGTGCTCCGGCTCATCGTTATGCTATTCAGAGATCTCATTAATATACGCAATATATAAATATTTTTTTTGATATACACTTACATAGAGTCTCATGACACGATCGAAGGTTTCCTTTAGCTTCTTGCGCTTATCGCGCAGCACCTTTTCATTAAGTGGCGACGGCTGCAGCACGTTGTACTCTGCGGTGCACAGAACGTATAGAATTTAGTAGGTTGATCAGTATTGACGTATACCCCACTTACCCATCTCGTCTATTTTTTCCATCTCCTCAAGTATCTGTGAAGGATCCTTGTTCTTAAGCACAGCAGCTCGCACCATTTGTCGCTGTCGCTTATTCTTCTTAAGCTCCTTTTTCCGTGCCTCCTTGCCTGTACGTACATATGTATTAATGAGAATACACATATGTGTTTATATTCGACAAGTTATACTTACGGGCTTGGTCTGTTGGATTCATGTATTTGCCACTTTTAGTGGTATTTATAGAGCGTCGCCCCATCTTAGTGTGTTATTAAATAAACTAATTAAAACAATTTTACTACAGGCCGTCTTCTTTCCGGCGTTTTGGCTACAAAATTATTAGTGCTGGTAAACATAGAATAAGGAAGCCCACTTATCGATAACAATAAACTAAAATGACTTCAAACAATAGTCACGAGCCGAATGCAACAGTCTGGCAACACTCTAGAAACTTCTGTTAAATGATGCCGGCATATTCGTTAAGAGCCATCAGAAAATAAAATAAAGATGTCTGATACAATGTCGCACTACAATAGTATTATAGACGCTTTGAAAACTTTCAGCCTAGATAACGAAACAAAGTTTCCTGACAATAAATATGGCTCGAAAACGGTTAGTATTGGTTAAACAAGCATAATGTGTTGTGCGTTGGTTGATAAACAAAACTATTCAAACTACGTGCAGCCCCAAGTGCCAAACGACACTCACGATCTTCCGTGCAGAATGCCCCAAACAGCAGGTGATATGGACAACAGTGACGACAGCGATATGAACTCGGACGTGATTATTGTTGATTCCTCAAGTGCCTCGTCAGATGTAAGCTTCATTTGGGCATCAAATATTAGTATATCATCACAATCAGTATTTGAATCAGAGCACTGGGATTGTTCAGATACTGACACCATACCAGAAACCGAAAGTGATAGCAACATCAATGGGAGCAGTAAGTCGTCAATAGTAACAGGAATATTTCTAAAAATATGGCCTAAAACCAAAACCAATTATTGCAGAAGAGTCGTGCATTATGGATAATGTTGTAAGTACTCCCACTAAGCGTAAGCACGACTGCTACCTCAACAGCAAGAAGAGTCGATGTAAGTGATCATCATTTGTGTAAAACTTACAAATATAATAAAATTGTTTATTTACATAGCTGGACCGTTACGTCGACCTAATCTGGGTATTGATGTGGACATATCGCCAGTGCCAAAATCTAATGTGACGACAACGCGCAGTGGACGAGCTGTGCGTGCAAGGATTGACAACAAGTTCGATTATTCGTCGGAGCCACAGGATGTCGATTCAGATGATTCTGATGACCCTGATTTTGGCGATAATGAGCTCGAAGACGACGATGATGATGAAGAATATAGTCAAGATAATCACAGTGAACCTTCGCGCAAGCAACGACGTGTATCCATGCGGAACAGCTGCTGTAGCAGCGATGCCAGCTCAGTGCTTGAGTCGGACGCTTTCATCTATCTGGATCTGAGTCGACCTGTTGCAATTGTTATGAATGATCCAACGTCTGACGAAGCGATCGAATTCGATAGTGAGCTGAAGACCCGTCTGCAAAAGTTTTTAGGCCTTGTTGCCCGGCAGCGCCGCCTTTATAATCCTATGTCTAACTTCGACCTTGAGGATAACCATATGGATGAGGGTGATCCCACGCCCAGCCTACGCAGCCGTTTATGGGTGGGCAACAACAACGTACGGCCCTTAAGTGCGCCCATAGTACCGGAAAAACTGAATCCGGAGATATCTCGTATTACACCGCTCGGTTCCAACATTACCAATGATATGAAATTGCTTTTCATTGACGACATGGTGCAGCGCGCCAATGCCAACTATTTTGAGAGCCAAACTCCACAGCATATCAAGGAGCCCATCGATCTGAGCGGCTTACCCAGCGAGGAGCAGCGTGCACTAATTTGTCAACAACACAAGAAGATTTCCAGTATGATTGGACCCCATGCAGGCGTGTATAACTTCGTGGATTCACTTCGATGTAAGTAAATAGTGAAGTTAATAAATACAGGAATAAGATATACGAAAACTAACTAAAAATGAACATCTAAAATATGTAAATTAATCTTCACATTACCTCGATACCATTTTAGCAACAACTCCTTTGAATATGTGTCATCCGCTTGCTGTGAACTATCGGAAGCGGGATTTTGGTACGTGCAAGGAGCATCTGGCCAAGACATTTTTCAATATACTCAATCACTTAATCTTCCACTGTGGTCTGCGCCCGGAAATTGTATGGAAGAGCTGCATGAATTCGCCCAGCAGCATCGAGCATCGCATTGAAGCTGGCGGGCAACGCAGATCACGTATTTTTCTATGGCAGAACATAAAACATCCCGGAATGGTGGTGAAAGAGCTACTGCACGAGATGTGCCATGCGGCGGCATTTGTGTACCACGGCGAAACAGGACATGGCGACAATTGCCGCAAATGGTAAACTGCCACTCTGAGCTTAGACAATATCGTTCTAATTATGTGCTTTAAATACAGGGCTTATCGCGCCAAATCGATGCTACCTGAGCTGCCGGAGATAGTGGATTGCAATGCCACCTACAAGTACACTTGTCTCCTGTGCCGTGCCCGCTCGTTCGGACGCATTAAGTTTGAGGATGAGGCGCATCAACTGCGTTGCCACTACTGCCAGTTTGAAGTGAATGTGGAGCCCTGCAGCGACGATATCTATAACCTTTCCCTCACTGACCAGCTAGTAACCCCCTATAAAGAGTTCGTGCGCGTCAACTATGGTAAATGCGACCAAAGTGGCCATAGTGCAAAAATGCGAGCACTCAACGTGTTATATAGGGAGCACCAGCAACAGTTATCTTCTAATTGAACCTACAACAGAAAGCTGTAAGATTTGTTTCCGCCTTTTTGTTTGCTTTTTTTTTCATTGACATAATTTTAAATAAATAAGTTTCTTCAATTATGATTCCATGTTCAATGTAAGCAATTTCAGCAGCAACTGCAACAGCTGATATATTTATTCATTTTCAGTTTATTGGAACGTTAAAAGTCCGTTAGTTAAATAAGTTAATGTAGAATGGGCAGACAGAATTAGGACATCATGCCCTTGCTGCGCTTGAAGGCAGCGCCAGCTTTGCGATTGTGATTGGCGCGTGATGATTTGTGTGTTTCCTTTTGGTTGCGATTTCGCATCGTTTGTTGAGTCTGCCCTGTTCCCTTGGGCCCGCCCACAACATCGACATGGGCACGCTGTCCGTACTTGGCCATCTGCCGTTGCTGATAACGTTCACGTATTAACTCTGGATTCTCACAGAAGTCCATACGTTTTGTTACGTTTGTCGCCACATTCTGATCACCGTCGTCGCTAGCATTATCATCGTCATCTTGATCGTCTTCGAAAGCGTCCTGCGCTTCGTAAGCGCTGCTGGCAGCTGCAGCTGATGCCTGCTGCAATTTGGTACGTAACAAACTTTGCGGCGGCGCTTGGCCATCGTTTAATGCCTCATAGCTGTCGTCGTACTCGTCATCGTACTCGGCACCACATTCGTTTGATGTTTCCTCTACTAGAGCATATTGCTGATAGCGCTGCTTCAATTGGTTAATATCGCGCTTGTCGTCCAGCAACTGCTCTGCGTTGCGCGGTGCACCAGGCAGTCCCTTGCCTTGCTTAATTATGCACTGCGGATTATCATGAGTAAGCACATCGTACTTATCACCATCATGTACATTGTAATGCCGTACACCAGTTTGGCTTTGCAATTTGTCCTGCGGATCGGCTGGTATGTATACCTCCTGCCTATCCATGTGCAACAGATCGGGCGGCAAATTATCATCTAGTATAGCTGCAATCGCCTGCTCGCTGTTTTCGTAACGATTCAGTACGCGTCGAATAAAGCCCATTCCCAAATCTGGCAACACGTCTAGCACGGCGGACACTTCCAAATCAATGTCGCGAGCAATGCCATTTTCAACTGTTGCAGATGCTGTCAGCGCTGAGGCAAGCGAATCTTCTCCGTCATCATCCTCCTCATCATCCGAATTAAGAATATTGGCAACCAATTCATCAGCGAGGATACCATTGGTACAGGTGCTAAGCGCCTTCTGGTAGCCTGTAACCACAAAGTCCACCTTGTAGTTTTTGCTGTGAGAAATATGCAAACGTTGATTTGTTATCAAGTTTTGGATACACATAAATAACAGCTACTCACATGTCGGGGCACAGCTCCAGCAGCAAATCTATATCCTGCTGCACCGGATATTGGCGTTGATAGTCCACAACAAAGGTCTGTGCTGAGAGGCATTCCTGCAGCAACTCCACCAGCTGCTGGCCATGCCCAGATTTCAACTGCGCACTGGTTATGCGTCGCACAACGTTCAGGAATTGTTGACGCGCCTCATTCAGCCACCGCAAGGAACTGGCGTGTGCGTTATTAAGAAAGATATTTCTATACAACATTGGGACGGTCAGATCGTAAAAATTGGCAATGCTGTAGAAAAACGGAAATCAAGTCAACCACATATTATCTCGCTCTCACTCTCGCTCTTTTGCTCTCTCTCTCTCCCAGTTGTTCTATCACTTTCATACCTTTGTACAATTTTCAGCTGCTCACAGGCCGCGAGCAGTGCAGGGCACAACTGGATGAGCAAACGTAGTGTATAGGCACAATCTAAGGCAAATAGTACAACATCGTCGTAGGGTGTTTCGGCATCAGGATACAAGAGCACGCCACCGCCAGCACCTTCGCAGCCCTCATTTTCCACCTGTATCTGCATGCTAAGAAAGGCATTCTCATAGAAAGCCAAACCTTCCTCCAAATCTTTTTTGTAATCTGGCTGAATACGCAACACAGCATCAAAGATATTTTGCAGCGTTTTCAAATTCTGTTCATCGGCATCGCCCACTGCAATAACCAAATCGCACAATAGTGGGACAGATATCAGATAGTTGTCATACAATAGAGAACTGTGCTGCTGCTGTGTTATCCACTCTGTGGGCGATTCTTTTGATGTAAGCAGTCGCATAACCACACGGATAGTCCGATTGAGCAGCTGAGCATAAAGCGCCTTTGCATTGATCAGTGCCACATCGTTTCCCTCTGCTGCATTGCTGTCCATGTCCTTTCGGTAGTAGGGATTGGCGCGCTGAAGAAATGTAACAACGGATGCCATGGCCGATTCATCATACACCATATACGACCAGAATCTGAAGATGTAAATTGAATTGAGTAAAGCACACTTCGAGCTTTAATGTCTGTCTGTCCCTTTAGAATGCACTTACTCGTGATGTTTTAGTTGAAGGAGGAACTCAAAGTCTTGCAAACAGCTAGCGGCAATGTGTTGCCACTCGTCTAATGCGGCGCCCGATTTTGTGCGCCCATAGGAGCTTAGCATGCAGATATAACTATGAAAAGTCTTATCACGTGTCAGCCAATGAACATCCTGTAATAAGTATTTGAGGATTTAGTGTCGTTAATTATCAGTTAAAAGTTATCCTTAATTTAAACGCTTACAAGTGCAGGCAACTGTCGTCTAACGCCATCGTTGGCAATTAGCGTTAGCTTTAGGCCGTCTAACGGCAGCTTATTTGGATTAAAGTTTTTATTACTGTCGTCCAAGTTCTGGCCTATCATCACTGTAAAAGATGCAACGAAAACAACACAAATTACACACAAGTCGAGTGGTAATTTTACAAGGGGTGTTGAAATAATATATCGATATACACATTTATTTTAGATAATAGCACTATCGATATCTTGCACGAATTTTAAGCCGTACATATTTCATCTGAAAACGCAATTGTATTCACAATGAATAAGACATTATTAACACTGGATTTGTAAAACTCGCTATCGGCGCCATTTCGATAACTGCTTAGTTTGTATTTTTTCAATTTGACATTTGACTCTTTTGAATTGTCAAATGTGTATACTGTCGTTTTTGTTGCAGTTATGCAAAATAACACAAATAATAGGTACTATGTGTTAAAAATGCCGAAAGAGTATAATCTAACCAAATCGTACTGGAATTTATCTAACATTACTTATTGTGCAGCTTGTGCAAACCTTTAATGGTTGGCGCTGGACGTGCGAACCTAACTAGAGTTTTGCGATCATATTTCGATTGTGATGAAAGCTCTAATCAGTATAAGGGACTGTCGCCAATGACCCAACGCGCACAAGAGCCATGCGACAATGCTGCGTTATCAGCTGGAGCGGATGGGAATGGAAATCTGAATGGAAATGAGCTAATCACCAGGCATGTTTGTGATGGTGTTGAATACACTTATGTGACTCCACTATCTAGGAATACGGGTCTTGATTTCTTGGCTGCAAGCATCAGAACTAAAGATTTGAATACCGTTCGCATTGTGGTTGTCTGCCAATACGCAAATGAGGCAGCCCAGTTAATGCAAGAATTGGGCAAACGCTGCATTGGCTGTCTTTTGATTAACGAGCCCACTAAGGCAAGTGACACAGGTATCCGCCTATGGAATGACGGTGTACGTAGTCCTAACCTTTCGGATATATGCATATTTCAAAAAAATCAATTTGTCTCTTTCGACAGTTACTCAACTCAGCCTTGGTTGTGTGCGATGATGTGTTGCCGCATCTGTCGACGTGCAACAATCTAATAGTTAACTACTTAATACACTCGTCCCAGACGCTGCCGCATGTTTTTCAAAAGCGTATCCAACTATTAATTCCCCAGCCAGTCAAGGGCACACGGGTGCTGGTGATCAGATGTCAAGCCGACATTCAACTACAACATATAACTAAAGAGCAAATGAAACCAGCAGCAACTACTGAACAGAGCAGACCAAGTTCATCTAATGATATTTCAGCTATAAAAAACTTGAGCATTAATCTGAATAAGACCTCAGCTACCAAAGAACTTTCTACCACGGATGCACAGCGATCAAAGGAACAACCAAGCAACAAAGCCCCAGATAGGGTATACACATACAACAGGTTTGGCATATTTGCTTGGAGCCGCTATGAACAAATATTCTGTTATAATGCAACTGAAATGTCCGCATTTGATCCAAAGATCAAGGAAGCCATGCAACTACTGAACATTGGACAATCAAGAGCGAAGCGCGTACAGCGATTTGCATGGCCTCATGCAGCTGCTGGCCGTTCCTTGTGTGTAATTGGTAATGAATCGATTGGCAAAACCTGGTGCTATTTGCCCACCCTGTGTCAGCGCGTCCTTCTGCAGTCACCGCAGCGTATACTGGATGACAGCGACTGCGGCCCCAGCTGCATAATATTGTGCGCAACTGCCAAGCAGGGCGAGCAGATTGCCAACTGGTGTTTGGGATTGCTGGGCAAACCGCGCGTAGACATAAAACAAGTTATCAAGGCGTTCTATCGTCCCTCTGTTAGTGATGTTGCCGAAAGTATGAAACGTCCTTGCGGTATTTTGATAACCACTGCTGAGCAGCTTATCCAGTTGCATCAGCTGCACAGCAAAACATTCTCCATCTTTAATCCAGTTGCCATAAGTTGTGTCGCTTTTGATGGGATCGACAGTATATGGCGTGCTGGCAGATTGCACTGCGAGAAAATAATACAATGGCTTATGGATATACTGCGTTTCGAGAGAGGCCACAGTCAGTTGTTCGTCGTTGGGCGTTTATGGATCGATTTAATTATGGTGGCATTATCATCGAGATTACCTGATGTTCTCCTCTTGTTTGAGGATGCATTGGAAGCGACCGTATTTGCTGGACTTAAGCTAGAGTTATTGACAACCAGCTCACAGCAATATGAACAGGATATACTGAAACTTCTAGTGGATAGAAAGGAAAAGCATATAGTCCTGGCATGCAATGGAAAAGCTGATGCGGCTAGACTGAGCAAGCTGCTCCATGCTTCGAATATCAACAGTTTGATTATTTATAAAACAGATCAGAAAACAGACCTAACCTGTAGAGAGTGGTGCGAGGAACACTTTCCCCGAGTCCTAGTAGTTACTGATGATGTGATTCCCAAATTACGAGCCGAAAACATCGAGTATTTGCTTCACTACGAGTACAATACTTGGCCACGATTTAAGGCACGTTTCAGCATGTTCTATGGCAGTTATCAAAAGATACCAGACAGCCCCACAACCACATCGACTATACTTGTTCGTCCCGGCGATGTTGAGCAAATTTGGCTACTTTGTGATTTTATGCTCAAGCACGATCGTTATCCGCCCGAATCTTATCTGACCATGTTAACCGAATACCGAATGCAGTTGGAAGCTGTTAAGCCACGTTCCAATATGCCGCTGTGCCGTCAGCTTATGTCCTATGGCAACTGCATACGACACACATGCCAATATCGACACATTCTGTGGGACTACGAAACGGAGCTGCCGGAGCACCATCCTAGTAACGGGGAAATCAAATTTGAAGTGCTTTCAGTAAGTTAACAAAAAATCACTTCTAGATATATGTGTATATATAAATCAATTTCTATAACATAACCAACAGAACGTAACACCGGCTCAACTAGCTGTGAAGTTCTTAGAGAACAAAACCTGCAAATACTTCTTGAACACTCCTGTGACAAAGCTTGGCGAAAGAATTGAATTGCACTACGAGAATCAATCAAACCATCGAAAGCATGTAAATCCCGAGCTTGGCAATGTGTGCGTATTGAAGATAAACAAGCTATATCAACGGGTGGGCGTCACTCGATTGGATGCTCACGATCGCATCGAAGTCAAGCAGCTGGATGCTGGCGTCGAATTTCACATGGTAGATAAATCTGAGCTGCTTGTCTGCGAGAAAGAGTTTCGAGACGAACCTTTTGAAGCATACAATCTACTCATCACTGGTCTGACGCCGTTTAATATGGAGCGTATTTGGCCAGACGATGCCAAGAAGCTGGTGCGAAACAAATTCTTCAATCGTCTTCAGGGCAAGCAGCATCGCAGTTTCACAGCCGAAGTTGATTTCGCCTTTCATGAAATAATTTTCGTGAAAAATGTCTACGATGCTGACGGCAATGATCTAAGAAGTTTTGTACTCAATAATATCCCAGTGCACATGGATGAGGACGTGAAGATGCGCTTACAGAAATGTATTTCTCTAGCCAAACCATTCAAATACTAAAGATCATATTTTTGTATTTTTTTTTACATTAGTTATGTGTTTACTCCATATTTATTTTAAGGTTTGTAATTCAAGAATTGTATGCCAGTTTTACAGTTATTCTCTTATTCAACTGTGCAAAGCAAGCTTCCAAAACGTACCTTTAAACAAAGTGCCATTTAACGTAAATTTGTACTATATGTAACAGCCTTACTGGTAAAGCAGCAACCAAAGTTTTTTTACTACGTATATGTAACAGTCCCGTTTGCAGTGTATTAATTTTAAGAAAAGATTGTTTAATATATGTCAGTTGCATTTTAAAAAAGCCTTTATGTAAAAGGATTGCGCCCCAAATAATTACCTCGTTTTAGCTACTCCATAATGAGTACAATCGATATTAATTGTATATCGGATAATAATCCGACCAGTCCACTGAAATGCATGCATGCATATGTGTTAAAGAACCGTTGGAATTTTGTATATTTGTGTTAGTGTACGTGGGCTTCATGTAAAAGTTAAGTTAATGAGTATTAAAATTTTGATCGCATTTTCCTTTTATTTAGCCTGTTAATAAAATGCGTTTTTCTGATGAGGTAATATCAAAACTATTTACCAATGATATTTTGAATGTATGTATATGTATATATCCTTGAAGGTTAAGTGTCATATCTGCAAGCGAATCTTCTGCTGCGGCAAATGCCGCCAAAAACATCAATTCGAAGCACACGCCATTGCCATTACCCAGCCCATAGATCAGCACTCAAAAATGGTTGGCTTTGGCAATGAGATTGAAGCGAAACCCTCAACGATCTACGTCTTCTGTCCGATCTGCGAGCAAAAGCCGCTCACGCTGCGCAAAGAAATGTATGCCGAGCTACTGGCCCACATAGAAAGCGTGCACCTGCCGCTGCGCTGTCGCAAGTGTTTGCGCCACTATACAAAGATCGATGATCTGAAAGAGTTTAGCAAATGCGTTGACCTAGGTCAGAATTGCAGCTCAGCGAGCTCGGCACTGAACGTGACCTGTGAGACGGATGCCTCGAAGGTAACGGTAAAAAAGCGAACCGTGGCCGCCAACACAATATCGACACAAACTTCACCCTATATAGCAAAAGACATGGACGAGACACAACATTTAAATCTAACGCCCATATCTCTGTTTAATCTTCGTTGTAAGGCCAAAAGTCGCATGACACAGGATGAGTTCATCAGCGATAGCGTCTCATCCATACGCAATCTTTCGTCGGAAAGTGTGAATTGGTCTGGGCAACAGCGTCGCAGCATTGGACAAGTGTGTGCACCTCCAGATAATGCGCACAATAATAACACCAAGGGCAAAATAATACGATCCACATCTACGCCATTGCAGGTCTATGCGATGTTCGCCAAGCCCAAAGAGCCGCTAACATTTAATGCATCTGCTGTAGGGGCCTGTCAGGTATCGAGCATCTATCACAGTGGCTATGCTCTGGATGAACCTAATGCGGCACCAGACAATAGTCATGTGATACCACCGGCGCAACATCACCGCACCTGGAAGGTCGGTGGTCGGGGTAAGATGAGTGCCGTGACGCCCTTGCGCCAGGTTATGTCCAAGAGCATACAAAAGGCTTTCGTGGAACACGGCGGCGTAGGCATGCTCCCTGGGCAGGGCGAACAGCTACGTATGCGCGCCGATTCGAGCGAACTCAACAAGTCGCCCAATGCCGCCTCGCCATTGGATTTGCGTCTTTCTCCTGTTGTTCGACGCACACAAAGTGAAGACAGCAGCAGCAATAGCATCGACAACACACATGGACAAAGATCGAAAAATGCAGAGCCCTACCAGATACTTCTCTCCGCTCAAAAGCTAACAAGAGAATCAATTATCATAACCTGCACCCAGCACGCAGGCAACAGTGTTTCCCTGGTTGCTTCTGCAGATGGCACCAGCACTACGAGTACAGTTTACAATTCATGTGAGAGCGTGGAGATAATTACTTCATCCTCATCAACTGCCGAGCTGGGCACCAATTTGCGGCCAGCCAAGATCGATTGTCCTGTGGCCGTGCCGATAACGCCCATCACAAGCGTGCCCGGCGCCATAATCAATAAGAAGCTCATCAAATTCGAGACACCCCAGAAACAGGATATGCAAACAACTCAATTGGTAGAGTCGACGCCAGATGAAAAGGAAATCTTTTATACGCCCAATCCGAGCAATAGCCCCTTGGCTTTCAATGCTGGCAGCCCGGCAGCTGAGCCCAGCAACAATGAGCGCCGTAGACAGCAGATTGTGCCTCGCCAGCTGAACGGTCAATTCTTGTCGGAGTCGAAACGAGTCGAAATCGCACGACCTCAAGGACCACGACCTCGCCCGCCATTGCGTGCGTGTCATTATCAGAAATCTTTCAGCTGCGTCCAGGATATCGGCAGCGACGAGGACGAGGACGAGGACGAGGTGTTCTTGCCAAACAGCGCATCCACACATAACGACAAGAAACGACAAGGACGTCTCTGGTCCCTGATGTCATCGGTTATGCGCTTGCCGAAGACTTTGCGAACGGATCACAATGCCAACGGTGGTGATAAGGAGAATATCCCTTCCACTTCCACTTCCACTTCCACTTCCAACTCTAATTCCAATTCTAATCCCGGCTCTCTGATCAGACGCTGTGCCTCCATTGCTGGTTCATTGGTGCGCACAATTCACTCTCAAGACGACGCTGACATGCAGAGCTTGAAACGCAAACGAACTCAAACACTGGACAATGCTAGTCGCACTCAAATATCGCCATCCAATTCCTCCAAACGTTTGCGCATACAGCCAAGGAAACCAATCGAACGCATGCGCAATACATAGTTAATTAGTTACTTAGCTTAAAACGTTCTGGCTTTAAATTTGTATCCTGCTTGTCTGCCTTTTAATAATAACATTAATTAATTATGTACGATAATACGGAATGACATCCCAATAAATATTAAGCAAGCGACATAAACAATTCAAACCAACTTAAACGTTATATCACAAAGCTCCATAATGTCCAATACGAATATTGTTTTAATAATCTCCTTGTCTGTTTTAACAGCAGTTGAATGTTAAATTCCAACGTTAAAAAGAGCTGATTTGCAAAATTGGGACTTACAATTAAATACTAGAAAATATTTTACTGCGTTATAGTATTTTTTTATTATCCTCAAACGGTCACGCTAAACAGAAATCGCTTGTGTATAATAGTGTGTGTGCGTGCGTTCACATTTTCTCAGTGTTTTTTATTATCAATCTGCAAACATCTATAAAAAATTAGAGAACTAATAGCAAAAATTTATGATGTCGTTATCAAGTCTTTTGCCCACACCGACTAACGCGGTATGGGATCGCGAGGACGAGCGTCGTTTGTCAGCCAAAGGTGCTCCAATGATTGGTGCCCTAGTGTCCGCCAAAATAGCAGCGCCACCTTACGGTCAGCGCAAGGACTGGATACCACGCACAGAGGCTGACTTTGGTGATGGCGGTGCATTTCCTGAAATACACGTAGCTCAGTATCCACTGGGTAAGTTTACAGTGAAAAATAAGAATAGAAATTGATTTTGTATTTAACATGTTATGTCGTTCAGGTCTTGGGGCACCTGCTAATGTGGGCAAAAAGCCAGATGCACTTGCCGTACGGTTGGATGACAAAGGCAAAGTCAAATATGATGCCATTGCCCGCCAGGGTCACGGAAAAGATAAAATTGTTTATTCGTCAATATCTCAGCTGCTGCCTGCTGAGGTTTTAGCTGAGGACGCTGAAGAGTTACAGCGTCCCGATGAGGAAACCGTCGCTGAAACAACCGAAGAAACACGCCTGGCCCTAGAGAAACTGACTAACCAGAAGATTACCTCAGCTCTTCCTGTGCGCCATGCCCAAAAAGCAGCACCTGCACAATACATTCGGTATACGCCATCACAGCAGGGCGATGCTTTCAATTCTGGAGCCAAACAGCGCGTTATTCGCATGGTGGAGGCACAGCAAGATCCCATGGAGCCGCCAAAGTTTCGCATTAACAAGAAGATACCACGCGGTCCTCCCTCACCACCAGCACCCGTATTGCACTCGCCCTCGCGGAAGGTAACAGTCAAGGAGCAGAAGGAATGGAAAATACCGCCCTGTATATCCAATTGGAAGAACGCCAAAGGTTTGACTTACCTCACACTTCTTCCATATAATCAATTCGTTTATGCGATTAATTTTCTCTACTAGGTTATACCATACCACTGGATAAGCGTTTGGCTGCTGATGGTCGCGGTCTCCAGCAGGTACATATTAACGAAAAGTTCGCCAAAATGGCAGAAGCTCTTTACATAGCCGATCGGAAAGCGCGTGAGGCCGTTGAAGCTCGTGCCCAGTTGGAGAAGAAGTTGGCACAGAAAGAGAAGGAGAAGAAGGAGGATATGCTTCGCATGATGGCGCAACGTGCTCGCGAGGAGCGTGCCGGATTACGCAATCCAGAACCAGATGCTCAGGGTGGTGGTGCCGATGCGCGCGAACGTAATGATTTGCGTGCCGAACGACAAAGGGAACGACAACGTGACCGAAATTTGCAACGAGCCGCGCCAGAGAAACGCACAAAGTTGCAACGCGAACGGGAACGCGACATATCGGAGCAGATTGCTTTGGGCCTGCCAGCCAAGAGCGCCGGCAATGGCGAAACTTTGTTTGACCAGCGACTCTTTAATACTACAAAGGGCATGGACTCGGGCTATGGTGACGACGAGGCTTACAATGTCTATGACAAGCCATGGCGCGATTCCAACACAATGGGCGCTCACATCTATCGGCCCAGCAAGCAGGCAGACAGTGATAACTATGGTGGAGATTTGGATACCATTGTTAATACAAAACGCTTTGTCCCTGATAAGCAGTTTTCTGGAGCTGGTTCTCGTGAAACAGGTGCCGCTCAGCGCAACGGTCCAGTTGAGTTTGAGAAGGAAGAGGATCCGTTCGGTCTCGACAAGTTCTTAAACATGGCCAAGAAAGCACCCAAGCGTGCTGACGAAAAGAACGAACGTGGTAGCCACTCAGATCGCAAACGTAGCCGACGTGATTAAGACTAGACTTGACTTTAAAATAATACTTAACTTTTTAATCAATCCCAAAAATATGGCAAATGCATACATACATTCATATTATAAACTACATACATATTTTTACAATTATATTATAAATTGCATAACCTTAAGAATTGGCATGCATTGTGTCCATTACCCAAGGCATATAGAACTCAACTCTAGTAAAAATATTGGGTGATCGGCTACCAACACAGGATTGCGGGCCAAGTGAAATGATGCCTATCGCAAAGTACGTGGGGATACTATAGCTTGTATTCATCAGCATCAGAGCACCGCCGGAGTCGCCTTTGCAGGTGCTTTGCGGTGTTTGGCCACCCGCACACATTTGACCAAAGAATAATTTTTTATGCGTTCGTACACAATCTGGTGTGGAGATAACATCAAGAGACGCCTTCATTTTAATCGTACTGCCGCTGAACTGCGCTTCCGCAGTTTTTCCCCAACCCACTATGTCCATAGCATAGCCAGCGTAATCGTCTGCATAAGTTTGCTTTGCGGGTGGCAGGCAAATGGGTATCACATAATCTGTATAGTACACGGAACGATTAAGTCGCAGTAATGCAATATCGTTGATCCAGTTGGAATGTTCATATAGCTCATGTGCCTTAATGAGGTCGATATTTAATTCTATGTGCGGCGGAGCACAGACTCTATCACCAACCAAGAACTCTTGGCAGTCTGGAGTGCTTCTCGTATCCCATTCTCCCAAACGCGCCCGAATATGATTAACAACGGAACCGTCATGCCGGTGGAATACACAATGAGCCGCAGTCAAAATCCATCGTTTATTGATAAGAGAGCCACCGCACATTGGGGTGTATTCCGTGTCTGCAAAGTAGAACTGTTAGTAACGGAAACGTTTCCAGACAACTCGCAATTTACCGTCATACGAATAAAACAGTAAAGCTGCCCAACCAAATTCTTGAATGTGTACTTTTTCACCAGCATAAATGCGATTATTTAAAGGGCTACCGCCACAAACACCCGGCTGGGGTATCAATTCATTATTAGTGGATTTTGAAACATGGAAAGTTGAACTAATATTCTGTGATTGACGTCGACAGCATACCAGGTCCTTTCGTGTATTACTTGAGCATTGGCTACGGCTGAAGCTATCCAGCTCAACGTCACTTTCCCAACATATTTCACGATGCTGGCAATATCCAATATTTGCATTCACTTTACAACGGCCATGATGTAGTATGGGAACTTTAAAAAAACAACGGATCACATAAATTCTTAATTTTCAAATCATTTCAATCAAGTCTTACCACTAACAGTATGGCTTACTAATAGGAAAAAGATGATTGGAAAACACCAAATGAACATGTTGCGAATGCTGAACGTCAAAAAGTGAGAATTTCACTCCACTGGAATCTTATCTATTTTGCCAGAGATACCTTACTGGAATGCATTGACCTAACTGGCTGGTTCTACAGCAAATATATGAATATGCAAATTTAATGAATGCATTATTAAGTTTGCATTATTCATATATTTGCTGTAAAACCAGACTTAAAACATGCTTTTACAGCTCTTGTAATTACAATTGTAAAAGTTTGACAGGAAATGCATGTGCATGTATACACATATGTGTCCACATGTATGTGATATGTGATATCAGCAAGTCAATTTAAATTATTCGCCAATCAATGCAAATTCCACAATTTATTTAAATATCGAGACCGTGCTGCAAATATTAAATATCGTGCGCTTGTCGATAAGTGTAATCGATTCGATGGATATCGGTCTTGGCCATAATATATCGATAGTCGACATGACATTGAGTTGACATTTCGGAGTATAATTTTAGCATTTCTAACGATTTAGTTCTTATTTTTTTTTGCAATTCAAGCTGTGGACGATTGTTATTAATTAACTTGTAGCATACGCGTCCACTATCTAAACACAACAATAATGCGACAGTTTCTGTGCTTTGACAACGATTACAGCAGCTTCTAAGTGCAGCCAGCTGCTGTTGCTGCTGTGTGGGTGGGTGTCTGGGTGGTGGGCTGGTAGCCGTTAGGGGAGAACACTGAGACATTGACAACAATTACATACGCTTAGTAACATCACGCCGCATACACGACAACTGACGTTCTTAGAGATAATTATGTAAGTGAATGTTGGAGCAGCTATCGAAATACAACATTTAAAACGTTCATATGCACCATTTACATTTATCGTGTACAGAAGAAGAAAGAGATAAGCTAAGATGCGTTCTCGTAGCAATTCGGGGGTTCGCCTCGACTACTATCAGCGAATTGTCCATCGTCTAATATTGGCACATCAGGAGCCAGTGACCGGCCTCTTTCCCGCCTCGAATGTCAACTCGCATGCGTGGATACGGGACAATGTCTATTGCATTCTGGCTGTGTGGGGCCTCTCAATGGCCTACAAAAAGATTGCCGATCAGGATGAGGATCGCGCCAAGTGCTATGAGCTGGAGCAAAGCTGTGTCAAGCTAATGCGCGGTCTACTCATGGCCATGATGAATCAAAAAGATAAGGTCGAAAAATTCAAGATGACCCAAAGCCCCTACGATTCGCTGCATGCCAAATACTCCAGCAAGAATGGACTGCCTGTTGTCGGCGACAACGAATGGGGTCATTTGCAAATCGATGCTGTATCCCTATACCTGTTAATTCTGGCTCAAATGACCGCCTCCGGCCTACAGATTGTCTTTTCATTAGACGAGGTATCGTTCATACAAAATCTGGTATTCTATATTGAATCGGCTTATTCTATACCTGACTATGGTATTTGGGAACGCGGCGACAAAACCAATCATGGTGAGTACTTACACCTTACACAGGCAGTAGACACGTTCATCATGGTTTCTTGTTGGTGGCAGGTGAGCCCGAGCTGAACGCCAGCTCCATCGGCATGGCTAAGGCTGCACTAGAGGCCATGAACGAACTGGATTTGTTCGGAGCACGCGGTGGACCCGCAAGTGTTATACATGTTCTAGCCGACGAGGCGCACAAGTGTCAAGCAGTGCTGCAGTCCATGCTGCCTCGTGAATCGAATAGTAAGGAGCTGGATTCTGGTTTGCTGTGTGTTATTGGATTTCCAGCTTTCGCTGTTGATGATGCCCAGCTCATACACAATACAAGAGATGCAATATTGTCGCGCTTGCAGGGAAAATATGGTTGCAAACGTTTTTTGCGCGATGGCTATCGCACACCCAAGGAGGATCCCTCGCGCCTCTATTACGAACGCTGGGAATTGCGCATGTTTGAGAATATTGAATGCGAGTGGCCGCTTTTCTATTGCTACTTGATACTGTTCCATGCATTTCAAAATGATATGGAGACTGTGAAGGAATATGCGGCTCGCTTGGAGAAGATAATGGTTCGCTCTGAGGATGGTATATTGCTGATACCCGAAAGCTATGCTGTGCCGCAGGATTTGGTGGGCTTTGAATATCAAAAGCCCGGCTCGCAGGATCGTGTAGTTGTTGGCCGCTGTCCCTTTCTATGGGGTCAGTCGCTGTTTATTCTGGGCCGCTTACTGCAGGAGGTGGGTGCACCTCGAACATGTCTTGAAAATATTCCTATTTCACGTTGTTTTTTATTGTTTTAGAACTTTTTGGCTGTGGGCGAGTTGGATCCATTGAATCGTCGCCTGGGCGCTCAGAAGAAACCCGATGTCGTCGTTCAGGTGGTCATCATAGCCGAGGACAATGAAATTCGCGATAAGCTGGCCGAGCACGATCTGCATGTGCAAACGATTGCCGATGTTGCACCCATTGAGGTGCAGCCGGCCCGTGTCCTTAGCCATTTGTACACGTATTTGGGACGCAATCGCAAGCTGGGACTAAGTGGACGTAAATCGCGCGACGTTGGCATATTGAGTACGAGCAAATTGTACTCACTAAAGGATCGCATCTTTGCGTTCACTCCGCAGGTAAATGACTCGGATCACACTGAACCCAAAGCCCCCGCCTAAGCGCACTCTGTACCGCTCTGTGTGTACGCTCAATCTATCTTTATCTACCTCTTTATATCTACATCTCCTTCTTTTTTCTCTGATTTAAAGCGATTGATTCTAATTATTATTACTCTTTTTGTTAGACACACACGCAATTATTATTATTATTTATATTGTTATTATTACTATTATTATTATTATTATTATTATTATTATTATTGTATTATGCATTAGTTTGTCGACTTGTCGCGCTTCTATATCGCCTCCGATAACGAACTCATGATTGACATCCTTAAAGGCGAGATCAATTTTCTCAAGTCCGCTTGGGATCTGCTGGGTCGTCCCTTAGTAACGCTCGTGCTGAAGCGCATCCATTTAGGTCGGTCCTCCTTGCTTAAATCTCAATCCGTTCTAATCTTCACATAGTATTTAGCTGTATAATTGTTATTTACATTATCCCCTACATCTATGTGTGTGCGTGTGTGTGTATGGCTACAGTTATTTTGCATATTAGTTTGTTTTAGATTTTGTAATTTTGTATTTTTGTGATTTATACATTTGCAAGGTTTGCCATTATTCAATAATAATGTTGTTGTTATAATTTTGATTGTTCATTTGTAGTTTCTTACAAACATCACAACACACACACACATATATATATACACACATACACACACGTATGTATGTTAATCTATAGATATATATTCATCTGCACACATGTTGTTTTAAGTATTAGTTGTTTAGTTTAGTCTTAGTTGAGTTGGTTTTTATATAGATACATAGTTTAAATTTAGCTAACAAAGGTTTTCGTTGGTAGTGGACACCGAAACACAGACACAGAAACAGATGCACAGCCAAACACTCCTACACACACACACATGCCCACACAGATATATATATATATATATATATATATATATATATATATATATATATATATATATATATATATATATATATATATATATATATATATATATATATATATATATATATATACGTACATTCAGCCATAGCATTGTATTATAGAATATATAAACTTCTCTGTCTTTCTCTTTCTTTTTTCTCTCTATATATATATATATATATATATTTATTTATTTATTTATATTTATTCAAAAACATGAAGCTGCAAACACTAAATTCATTTCAATCTTCAAAATCAAGTTCTTTTTATATATATGCATAAATATATAGAATAAACATTTGCTGCTTCGCTGTCTGCCACAGCTGCAATCATAGAATTCCCAACTGGTTACAGCTTGGAATTTGAAATAGCTCTTGAAATAGCTAAACAGACAATTTTCTTAATAATAATCAGTAAATACAGGACATCAAACTATATATAAAATATATGCTTAATTGATGATGATTTAATTTATTTATACTTTCCGATCTCAGATTCTCTCAGTTTGCAGCTTTACATAAGGATACACACATACATATGTATATATTTGCAAATATTTATTTATCTATATATCTAGATATATATATATATATATGTAGAGACATTCCTACACACATAAGTATTTTGTTGTTTAGCTTCTTATTCTGTTCCTTCGACATCATTTACTTATCTATGCTTTGCACTATATTCCCATCCCAAAACATTGGAAAGAAAGAGATCCGATTTCCCCGTTACAAATTGGCCACAAAAGAAACAAAAAAGAAAAACATTCTCTCTCTGCTCTCTCTCTTTTTGTATAATACGTGCTTAACCAACAACAACAACAACAACAATAATTCGTACACACACAGCATATCGACTATGAAGAATACTACACGACACGCGATCCCGATCTGCTCGCTAGCAATTTTACCACAAACTTAGGCTTCTTAACCAACAATTGGCGTCACATGTTGGGCAGGCCGACAATCACATTAATGGCAACGCATTATATGCTAGGTAACTACATCTCGAAACCACACAACCAACCACCCAACTACACCCAAACACCCAACTACCAAGCAAAGCAAACTTCAATTCCCACACTGCCAACAACAAAGAGCTGCATATGCACTCGTACACACAGACACATATACATATATTATATATATATATATATATATATATAAACACAAGTGATATGATCTATTCTATGCTATGTTGGGGTTTAATATTACCAACTCGTAATCTGTATCTTTGTATGTATTGAGCTTTGTGCGCTTTTGCTTCTTTCTCTTGTTACACAAATTTCTCTAATATATATATATATATATATATATATATATATATATATGTATACATGTTTGTATAAGACGTCTGTTCAAATAGTATTGCAAATTGTGTGTTTTTTTCTTAAGTTTTTTTTTCAAGAATTCCATTTAGTTTTCTTCTAAGTAATCTTCTCATCCTCGTTTGAACTTTAATACTTTTGAAACAGACCTCGTATAATCTGTAGGTGTAGCTCTCTATTCAGTATTCAAGCGCAAAGCTCCAAGTTTTATATATTCCCTGAAATGGACGCAGTTTCTTGAAACTCTAGAAAACTAGAACATATGATGAGATCAAGCAGTCTAGAGGTAGAGTATTATTGAGGGAGTCTTTAAGCGGAGCTTAATCAACGTTCTACGAATCTGCTCTCAGTGTAGCTGACTAAAGAGGCCTTAACTTTATGTTGGATTGCATTTTTTTAACCCAGGCGAAGTAGATTAACTTAC